ATTCCCTTGACTTCCCCTTCCTAGTTTCTGTCTTTGCTTTCTCTGGGTTTTACTTAAGATCCATTTCTGCACCCAAAAAAGACACTTTTAAAAGACGACTGGCACATTTCCACTGAAGCCTAATAAAATATACTGATATTTATATAATTAAAAAAATAGCTTAAAAGCCAAACATCCATCCTTTTCTTTCTTTCTTTTCTCATTCATTCATTCTTCTTTCTTTTTTCTTCCTCCCTCCCTCCCTCCCTCCGACCCACCCACCCACCTTTTCTTTCTTTCCTTCTTTTCTTTCTCTTTCTTTCTTTCTTTCTTTCTTTCTTTCTTTCTTTCTTTCTTTCTTTCTTTCTCTTTTTCTTTCTTTCCTTCCTTTCCTTCCTTTCTTTATCTCTCTCTCTACTTTTTCTTTCTTTCTCCTTCCCTTTTTTTCTTTTTTTCTCTTTCTTTCTTCTTTCCCTTCCTTTGTTCATTCTTTCTTTATTTCTTTATTTCACGCTTCAAACATTTTCAGTCATTTATGACGATTGATCTAGAAAGACTGTAAGTGCTTTTCAGAAACCTTTTTTTTTTTTCTTTCTATCTCCCAGGAGCCAAATCTGAAATGATTATCTAGCTGCAGGTTCTGGCTGCATCACTTCATCCTCACTTTGAGGCTGGCAATTAATTTTAGCCTGGCTCCCTTCCAATTTTGATGATCTCCTCCTGGTCTTGGCCGGGAGCCCTCAGCAAAATTGCAGCTCAGAAATTCTGGGCGCATCACAATTGTATATGCTCAGCAAGATCTTTTCCAAGCACACGGAGGAACACATCCAGACAACCATCCTGAATAAGAGGTAGTCCTCGACTTACAACCATTTGTTTAGTGATCAAATGTATGTCACTGAAAACAGTGACTTATGTCCCTCAACTTACAATTGCTCCAGCATCCTTACAGTCCCATGATCAAAATTCAAAGGCAGGGCAACTGGCATGTACTTGTGACGGTTGCAGCATCTCAGGATCATTTGATCACCATTTCTGATCTTCCTGGCCAGCTTCCAACAAGCAAAACCAATAAGGGAAGCTGGACTTGTTTAACGACAGCATGATTCACTTAACAACCATGGCAAAAAAAAAGATCGTAACGTCGGGCCAAACAACCTGCCTAGCGACAGAAATCCTGGCCTCAACTGTGATTGTAAATCAAGGACTACCTGTATATTAGACACCTTTGCAAAGGATTTTGGGGACTGTAGTTTTGTCAACCAAAATTCGGGGTCTCAAATATGGTCGTAAGTCGAGGACTAATTGTATTCACACCAGCTTTCTCCTGGGAATTTGGCAAAGCTTTCCAGAAGCCCAACAACACACGAAACATGGACAAATCCCAAAATCAAATTTTCATTTTTTTCTCCCCCCTCAAGCACAAAGTCCAGAAATGGTTTCCAAGCAGAAACAAAACTTGTGTTTTTGTCTTCAATCAAAGCAGTCTGTTTACCGATTAGATAGGTTTGTTGTTATAGAAATGGCTAGTTTATACTATTATGTATAAAACAAAAAGTTGAGGTTTGATGTTACTATTTTACTGCACCAAAGAGAGTTGAAAGTCAATGCCTTTTCTTTCTTTTTTTCCCTTTTTCCCTCCCTTTTCCCTCCCCTATCTTTCCTACTTTCTTTTGTATTTTTGTACCTTAAAATATTAATAACTAAACTAAAAAAAAAAAGAAACATGGACAATTTTTTTGAGGTGTGCAAAAGTGAGCTATCTAGAACTCAAAAGCTACAGAGGCCAGAATATATGGAGCCTGGCATCTTGTAGACCATTATAGCAATTTTTAGACCATTATAGCAATTTTATGACTTCTGGACTTCACCCCCCTGAATTCAACTCAGGAATTCTGGGAGTTGTAACCCACAGGTTGTAAAGTCACCTGTTGCACACCTGTTATACAGGCAAATTCCGTATAAAATCTACCTCCGCATCTCAATTTTAATCCCAGCCCTCGGGGGATCTGAAGTTGGATTGATACAATAAAGTTGCTTTTCCTGGTTTAATCTGCTGGAACCTGGGAATTATTTGATGGCTTCGACTAGAGTTTAATCTCTTTATTATTATTTTTTTACCCTCTGCATGATAACTCAGCCGTGCCTGTGAAACAGTGGAAAAGTCAGAGGACGGAAAAAATGGAAGATTGGGAAATTCGTGGTCTTGCACCGTGAAAACGATTGTGCAGCTATGGAAATTCCCTGTCCCACAAGTCACGGTTATAACAAAGGTGCTTTCCAAAAGGCGACTGGGATTTTACAGGCGGTCCTCAAGTTACGACCACAACTGAGCCACACTTTGGTTGCTAAGCGAGACATTTGTAAAGTGTGCCATTTTCCTTGCCAGATTTATTAAGCAAATCACTCGCAGTTGTCGGTTGCTAAGTGAATTTGCCTTCCCCATGGATTTTGCTTGTCAGGAGGTCGCAAAAGGCGATCCTGTCACCCCCGGGGACATTCCAACTGTCATAAGTACATGCCAGTTGCCAAGCCTTTGAATTTTGATCACGTGATCATAGGGATGCTGGGGCAAATCCACCACCTTCCCCTTCTTTAGACACTGTTCCGAGATCCATCCCGAACCCACCCGATGCCTTTTAATAAAAGCTTCGCACTGGAGGAGCTGAAAACCCCCAGCCTCTCTCTGCGTGTAGTCAATAACATCTCACACCGAGTGGTGCCCTTTCCTTTCCAGTTGAAAACAATTAATCCTTCAGTCCCTTCTCCTCCATCCTTTGCAAAGCCTCTCACTCTGTGCCATACAATACCGCTTAGATTAATAAAGAGTGAAGATGCTAAACTACCCTAATTTCCAGCTAACAACTACATGTTGATGTATGTGTGTGTGTGTGTAAGGGGAGTATCAGGTTAGTAAACCAGGCCTAGAAGTAAACTGTGAGTAAAAACACAGGAAAAGAAAAACAATTACCAAATCCTGCTTTACAGTATCTTTCCCCAAGTCAGCAACATAGTTAGGCTTCCGGGTTTTTTTTCCTTGGCATCGCTGAAAACCAGTTTTTCTTAACCTTGGCAGCTTGAACTTCAACTCCCAGCATTCCCCATCGGGTATTATTGATTGGGGAATTCTGGGAGTTTGATTCCTACGTGTTTGGCTGGAGAATTCTGGGTGTTGTAGTCCACACGTAGCTGCCAAGGTTGTGAAGCATTGAGTATACAGTAAGGGTGTCTAAACATGGCCACTTTAAGACCTGTGGACTTCAACTCCCAGAATTCCCCAGCTGGCTGGCTGGGGAATTCTGGGAGTTGAAGTCCAGAAGTCTTAAAGTGGCCAAGCAAGATTGGATACCGCTGGTGTAGAGAGATTTTTTTTTTTAAAAAAATGTTGAGATTTGGCATAAATATATGTCAAGGGACACAATTCTTCAACAGTTGAAAGTTGACTTCAGAGCAATGGATTTGTTAGTGACGATGCAGAAGAATGCAGAGTTAACCCCTTTTAAGCCAGATTGTTTTTTGGGGGGGGGGAGCAGTTAGTCTCCTCAAACTTGCATTGACATTAATGAGTTTTGGGGAGGGGGTTCTAACTTTCCCTTCCTCCACCCCAAAAACCTTGGCACGGAAGGGAGATGCACCCCGCACCCCCAAATGGAAAGGATGGATCAAGTTTCCTTCCTAGCCCTTTTTTTTCTTGCACCCCCAAACAGCAAAGACGGGGTGTCCTAAGGCCAGAAACCAACAAATGGATGCCAACAGTAAAACATACATTCACAACTGCATCTGACCACAAGCAGTTAAATGCCAGTGTTTTCAACTTTGGGAACGTGAAGATGGGTGGACTTCAACTCCCAGAATTCCTTAGATGGCATGCTTTAGAATGCTTGGACTTCAAGTCCCAGAATTCCCCCAGCAGGAATACTTTCAGATGCTAGCTTGGTTTTCAATTCCCAGAATCCCACAGCCAGGATGTTTTACAATGCTTGAACTTCAACTCCCAGAATCCCCCAGCCGGCATGCTTTCAGATGCTTGGACTTCAACTCCCAGAATTCCCCAGCCAGCTTGGCTGGCTGGGGAATTCTGGGAGTTGAAGTCCAAACATCTGAAAGCATGCCGGCTGGGGGATTCTGGGAGTTGAAATCCACCCATTTTCAAGTTACCGGGTTTGAAAAAACACTGCTCGTAAAGAGTGCCACAATTACGATTATATTTTAGAAAGGAAAAAAAAAACGGCAAGGACAGCTCATCCACCCACCCATCCAGCAATCCACTTGCTTTCTTCGATCCTCCAAACTTTGGAGCGGAGGATTTTATATCTTCAAAAATCCCTTTGGCCTCTCGATCAGCCCTACCCTGTTTCTCTTCAAGCTGGCCTCCCTTCTCCACATCTGGACGCCAGTGCAAAAACTCTCCAACCCCCCCCCAATTTAATAAATAAATAAAATAAAAATAAAGCCATTTTTCGTCTTCTCCCAAGGGCTTCTGTTTGGGAGCGAATGTCCCCTCTCGCTTGGGAGCCTTCCTCGTCCTCCCACCCGCTTCCCAATTTTTCCTGGGCTGAATCCCACCTCCTCCTGGCTGGGAGAAGAGGGGGTACACCATCCCGCTCGATTCACAGTTACATGGCGACACCCCTGGATTAATCAGGGGGTCCCCCACTCCCATTCTTTCCAATTTTTCAGAACCCCGGCGAGGTTCTCTGAAGAACCCCGGCAATAAAGGAACTCCTCAATCCCCTTCCCCAAATAAATAAATAGATAAATAAATAAATGAAGGTGCGATGCTCAAATCCTTATCCTTATTATTCTAATTTTTTTTTCTTCCTTTCTTCCTAGTCTTCTGTGCATCCGACGGCCACCGGTCTTTTCTTTTCGGCTGAAAGACTCAAAGGAGAGCCAGGATGAATGACGGATGGTATTTGGTACCCGCGGCCTTTGATATCAACCTCTTCCAGCTCTGGAAAAGATGAATGAGGAAACGAACAGAATCTACCACCCGCCCCCCAAAAAAACCCCCTCCCAAACGATCTTCTTCCCCCTTTAAAAGGAAACGCCTCACTCACTAAGGACAGAGCTTTTAGACACATGCTTGAATAAATAAGTTTTCGGAAAACCTCTCCTTGGTCTGCTGCTTCGAAACGCCTTCGGGGGGAAAAGGATGAAAACTCGCTTTCTCGCGCGGAAAGTTTTGGTTTTGGAGTTTTCGGTCCTCCGGCTCCCAAAGTTCAGCTCGCGGTGATGGGTTTCGTTGGCAAATATCAAAAACGTGAAACTTCAGGAGGATGGCTTTCCCGTCTCCCTGCTCCTTGTTAATATCTATATATATCTATATATATATATATCTTTTTGCACTCTGAATTTAACCCTTTTTTTTTTTTTGCTGGTTTTGAGGCATCCTTGACTCTTCAGCCGTTGCAGCCTGCAGGATCGTTGGCTCAGGTCACCAAAACTTTCTGTAGTCCAACAAAGTGGCTACCTCTTGTGCAAACTGGAAGGTGGCTTGTATTTTGAGTTCTCATTCCAGCACCGTTTTGCATCTCGGTCCACGGTGAATTCTGCAGCTGGCGTGTGGCCTCCTTTCTAATCCGTCTCCCACCCCAGAAGCTTCGGAGAACGTCGGCCGTTGTGCTCCCCACCCTCCACAACAGAAGAAAGTCGAAGCGTGTGCAAGTTTGCAAAAAGAAGGTACAAAAATATTTCTTTCCCGCAACTAATTTTAAAGAGTTTTGACGCCGATGAGGGCTGCGAAAAAAAAAATAAAAATAAAAATGAAAAAAAGGATTTTGGGCAGCTCTGCAACCAAAGTTTCACTTCGCCTCTGGAGCCGATTCTGCGAGTTTTCTGCTGATTTTCTGGTTCTGCAAAGAAAGCTGGCTTACACCCCCTCCGACCCCCATCTGGACTTCAACTCCCAGAATCCTCCAGGCAGCACGGTGAAAGGAGAGCTTGGGGATGATGGGAGGTGAAGCCCAAAAGGTTTGGGAGGCAGCCGATCGAGGACGGCTGAATAAATGCACTGAAAAAAAAATCCAAGGGGAAATATTATTCATATTATTTGGCCACCAAAGTCGGTTTGCCATCAAGTATAGGTAGTCCTCGACTTACGACCGCAATTCAGTCCAAATGTTCTGTTGCTAAGTGAGACCGTTGTTCAGCCAATTTTGCCCCATTTTACGACCTTTGGACGGTCACTAAATGAACTGTCGTAAGTCGAGGACTACCTGTATGGGCTCAACAGAGCAGTTTCAGCCAGATAAGTATCTCCAAATCTCTGCTAGCACAATTCAGTGACTCCAAAATTGTGCCTCGAGTATGGAAATTTGTATCCTGGCTTAGCTTTAGCGGACAAGCTATGGATACTTAACTTTATTCAAACCTGACATTCCAGAGATAAAAAACCGTAGTCTCTTTTAAAAGCTTGCAATTAGAATTATGAAAGCAACTCAGAAAGGTTTTAGAATAGTGTTTTTCAATTGTGGTCACTTTAAATGGGTGGACTTCAACTCCCAGAATTCCCTAGCCAGCCAGCCTGGCTGGGGAATTCTGGGAGTTGAAGTCCACTCATTTTAAATGCTAATTATGCTAATTATTACTCTATAAATCTGCAAAGTGCCGAATTCGTTTGTGGAATCCTGGCTGGAAAACTTCAAACTTAGTAAATCAACACATTTTGATACAGGACAGGTTTTGGGGTTGGGTCTAGGGTTTTCCCCTAAAAATCTCAAATCCCCTCCATTGAGCCAGGCCTAAAATTAAAACAATCATCCAAAGCTTGCAATCCTTATTTCCAAAAGAAAAACCTGCCACAGGTTGAATAAATTATGCAATTGGGAATAGAAAGCCCAGCAACTTTTAAGATGCATGGACTTCAACTCCCAGAATTCCCCAGCCAACATGGCTGGCTGGGGAATTCTGGGAGTTGAAGTCCACTGATCTGAAGTCCAACTCTGGGAGTTGAAGTCCAGCTGATCTTAAAATTGCCAAGCTTGGGAAATTGTGAGCTAACCTATTCTTAATTTTTCTTTTGGGCAAAAATAAAAATAATAATAAAAAATCCCTCTAAAACAGGAGATCTTGATAACTTCCTCAGGCTGGTTTGACGGAGAGACTGATCTGGGTGCAAATCCTCCCGGGTTTTTTTCCCCCTCCTCTTCCAGATATACAAATTTTGCAATTGCCCCTTTTTTTTTTATAAAAAAAATAACAATCGAAAGGACTTCCTCCTGCAATCTGACATGGCCAGTTCCTCCTTGGCTATTTCTCCAACCTAAATTCTTTCCATCCCATTTCCAGGCGTGTAGTCAAGACTATGCCTATCCTAGGAGGCTGTACTCACTTTCAAAACCATACCGAACCCACCCAGTCCAGCTGTGGCCTATTGCAGGGCTGACCCACACCCCTCCTTGCAAGAGGAACCTCAGCAGCTATTACGCTGACGATCCAGGCTGTGAGATGTGACAGCCTCCATGCATACTGATGCGACTTACCACTAGAGGGCAGCAAAAACAAAACGGTGCAGAATAATTGCATTCTCTGCTGCCCTCCTTGTGGGCAGATCAAGACTTGCAGCTCAGATCTGGAGCTTGCGGTATCATCTGACACAAACGCTTGGAAGATTACTCAAGACATCTTGAGATGCCCTTCCTTCCCCTGGTTTTCTGAGTGTGTCTCATGCATGCAAGACCTGGGCATCCTGATTGGTCTACTCCCTAGCACTTTAACCGATGACCAATTGGGCAGCCCGACCTGTCTTGGGGTCCAGAAAAGATGACCTGCATCTGGACTTAAAAATTCCCAACTCTTGATTTGCAGCCGGTGGTGGTGGTGATGGGGGGGGGTCTCTCTTTCCTGTCTGAAGCTCCTCTTAAACCCTCAAAAATAGTGGGCCTGGGCCCTCACCGTTTCCCCTCTCCAGACGGACCTGAAGTTTTAGGCCAGTCATCGCTTCCTTGCAAAGACACCTGAGAAAATTTTTGTTTGGCCAGGATGCTGAGCTTCTGGTCCAAACCAACCCTGTATCCCACGGTCCTTTGAGAAGAGGGAATGACATTTCAACAACTTGAGGCCTGCGGTCCAAAGATGCCTGGACTTGAAGCTCTGTTGGCGTCAAACGTGTCTCCTACGACGCCTTTATCGTTTTGGACGCTAACCGGTCTCACCTGTTTAATGGAACAAGCAAAAAAAAAACCCACCATTTTTTTTCCCCTTGAATGGGGAGATTATTTACAGGGCAACCAGTGAAAATGAGATTTCTATACCAATTTAGAGCTGGCTCCTGAAAGTAGACCTTAGGAGGGGTATAAGAAAAGTCAAGATGGCAGCTGTACCAGCAAAGCCCTGCCTTTTTGGGGTGGGTGTGGTGCCCATGGAGAAGGCTTTGATGGGGCAATGACAATCATCATCTTGATTTTTTTTTTTAGGACCCTTTGTGGATGCCCTTGGCACAGGGCATCTCACCTTCAATTCTCTAATCTTGGTCTTGGGTAACCATCCAGATTCAAAGGGTCCAATGTGGCTCGGAGCATTTGTGGGCACAGCTGTGTCTTTTTGTGGTGTGTGTGTGTGTGTCACTCCCGAAAGACAAGATGCCACGAAGCTCTCCTATCAGCTCCCGGCCTTGAGAATCCAATTTTCTTGGCATCATTTATTCTGGCTGCAGAAAGTTTAGACGACACCAGCTCTGGCTTTGAAAAAGAGTTGGCACCAGTTGTTTCTTGGAAGTTGTGAGTTGTGCTCGAAGAGGGCAGCCCAACTCTCTTTTTGACAAGGCTCTGGGTGTAATGAGTAGATGTCCCACAGATCAGATGTTTTCCTTGGTCTTCAAGAGTCCTGAGATGTCTTGGCACAGCTGGACTTTTGGACCCAATTCTGGAGTTTGGTTGGGAAAAGAGTTCTTCGAAGACCAGATTTTGATGCCTTTAAGCCTTCCCCCCAAAATGGCTCTTCATAAAAGGATAAATTTAGAGCCAAAGCTTCCGTTCCAAACTTCTAAACCAAGCTCCACCAGGCAAGTTCTGCTACTCCCGAGTAGAAGCTACCACCTTCCAGAAGTCAGCTTCCCCATCCTTGACAGCTGATAGTTGGCTTTTTGCAAGCTTTTTCTTGTGAGACCAAACCAGCCTGTTGAGTTTCAAACTCGCTTTTCTTCAAGAAATCAAAGCGATGTTGTAAAAAATGAAACGGGAGGGAAGCGATTCCACCCTCCTTGATCGCCGATATCTCCCAAAGGTTGGACTAGAAGACCTCCAAGGTCCCTTCCAACTCCGTTACTCGGTTGGCAGAAACCAGCAGATCCAAGCTAAGGTTTGTCCAGGAGAAATTTACAGAGCTCTAAAAATAAAAATGGAAACTTGGTGGATCTGGTGTCCCTTTTACAAAGCCAGCCTAACTCGAGAAAGATGCCTACATCCGAGCAGGCCATTTTTTTTTTCTCACCCCCCTCCAGCCCCCATCTTAAATTTCAGGGGTTCCTTGCTGGAGCTGCCATCCAGGAGAGGAACCAATTTATTACAGTCTATCAGAAAAGATGAAGAGACTGATAGAAAAAACAAGGCCACCCGAACGCTGGCAAAATGCTTTTTTTACACCCCGGGCAAGATGAGGGGGTTAAGCATCCTGGCTCAGAAAAGAGTGGACGTGCATTTGCGAATGTTCACTTTGGAGACCGACAAAAAATGTGGATTCCGTTAAGCTGTATTCCGTAACATTTCCACGCTGCGGAGAGCGATATTCGACCTGTCCAGATGTTTTGAGTGGAGAAATTCTTGCTGAATGCTGCTTTATCCTTTCAAAATAAAACAATGACAAAGATCCGTGTTCCTTTACACCGTAGAAGCTCATCCATCCTTAAAAAATAGGAAAAAAAAATCCAAAATAAATGCCGGTTGGTAAAAAAGAAAATAGAATAGCAAGCAAAAGGACAGAGGCCAGCAGTGTGGCTGAGTTTTGAATTTGGGGGCAGCAGGAAACTACGGTTACCCGTCAGTGCAGGAGGGCCCAGCAAGGAACTGCAAAACCTCTTTTTCTGCACGATCCCGGCCTGGTGAGTGAGTTCTCGGCCTTCCTGCAGAAAATCACCCCAAATTTAGGCGAGAGAGGACAACGAAAACGATGCGGCGGTTGGAGGCAGATGGTTGCGCAGCTGCCTCTGCCAGAGGAGCGAGCGAGCGAGAAAAACGGGGGGAGACGACGGCGGGAGGACGGATCTTCTTCGCAGTCTCGGGTGAGTTTTGGTAGCACCGTCACCTCTGATGTTCCTCGGGTCCTCCCGCCACGAGAAGGAGCCCATCTCTTCCGGAACTCAAGACCTGCTCCAAAATGAGGAGGCATCAGCTGGGCTTGATGGCCTTCCAAGATTGCCAGTTCAGGAGCAACTGAAGCCGGCATGGCTGCTGGTGGGTATCCCAGACAGTCTTTCAAAACGGGCGGTCAGGAGATGCAAGCGACGGTCGGTCGGGCTTGTCCCTCGCCAAGGTTAGCAACCGGATTCCACCTTAATGTGTAAAATCTTTGAGAAGCCCGGCCTCTTCTTCAAAGCCTGGAGGGAGAGGAGGAAGAGGAGAGGGGAAGTAACCTGCAACCAGCATCGACTTCCCATCGCCCGGTGCGTTCCCACAGAGAGGGCCTACTCAGGGTGCCGTCGGCTAGACAATGTCGGCCGGCGACCCCCAGGGGTAGAGCCGTCTCTGTGGCCGCGCCCACCCTTTGGAATCAACTTCCCGTGGGTCTTCGGCTGGCCCCCGACCTTCGTACCTTCCGCCGTGAGCTTAAGACCTGGCTGTTTAAACGCCCTAGCCAGGACTGTTTTAAATTGGTTTTTAGTCTGTTTTAGAATATTTTAATTTGTATTTATTGGGATTGTTTCGTTTGATGTAAGTTGCGTTAATATATTTTTTTCCAATTTTCTCAGCAATTGACACTGTTATAAGTTGAGAACATTGAAAATCAAACACAGGATTTTTTCAAACCACAACATGCAAATAAATCATGGTGTAAATTAGGCCTGCAGCTGATCAACGTAGTTTCATATTGATTTAACCCTTGTTTCTCTGAAGAGTTTTAATTTGCAGAAAGGCTCACTACGGGCATAAGCAACTCCACAGAGCCCTCTATTTAAATAATTTGTAATTTTTCTCTTTCTTTTTGGGCGGGATTTGCCTTGCTAGGGGATGCCTCGAAGCAGGACTGGAGTCCTTACTCAAAGCCTCCGGGAGTAACCTCTTGATCCTACGGGTTTCCCACTGCCCCAACATTTTGACGGATCGTTCTCTCTGGCTGGCCAGCTGCTACTGCCGAGCTCTCCAAGCCGTCACCTATCGGTAAGTGGCAGGAGTGGGCTTCAAAAATTTTAGCAAGGGGTTCTCTGCCCGGTTGGTGGGTGGGCGTGGCCATGGTGGGCGTGGCCTAGCCGGCCTCCTGTACCACGGCCGTGGCGGTGTGTGTGTGTGTTTTTGCCCTCCCTGGGCTGGAGGCCCCGTTGCGAATCGGTAGTAAAGGTAAGTAGAACCCACCGCTGGGCTGGAGGCCTGTTATAAGGGGGACACCTGCCATTCCCATCAATAAGTCACAATGGGTTGGGGGAGTACCTGGAGTTTGTTGATCATTTCATCAAACATTTTCTTGGCCTCCGAACTATTTGGTTCCTTAAAGTAATCGACAATCCCAACTTGGACCACGATGGATTTCAGGTTCCGGCAAACACCTTGAAGGGGGAGAGAATTTGGTTTGATACCGGGAACGCCGAGGTTCACAAAAGCCAAGATGGCGTCCATGAAGGCAAGGCACTATCATCCATCCCTCCATCCATTCATCCATCCCTCTATCTATCAGGGGTGAAATGCTCCCGGTTCGGACCGGATCACCCGATCCGGTAGCAATGGCGGCGGGTGGTTCGGAGAACCGGTAGCAAAAATCCCTGTGCACTCCTCCCCCCCATGCCCGGCTGAGCTGCGCGATCATCAGAGGCTATTTTTTTTTCACTTTTAAACGCATTTTTTCTACAAAAATGCTTTTAAAAGTAAAAAAAAAAAAAGCCTCTGATGATCGCGCGGCTCAGCTGGGATCGTCAGAGGCCTTTCAAAGCATTTTTTTCTACAACCCCTTCGTCCGAAGAGGTTGTAGGGAAAAAAAATGCCTTTAAAAGCCTCTGGTGATCCCAGCTGACTTGCCTGATCGTCAGAGGCTTTTAAAAGCATTTTTTTCTGCAACCTCTTAAGGTTGTAGAAAAAATACTTTTAAAAGTGTATGTATGTATGTATATATATATATATATATATATATATATATATATATATATATATATATATATATATATATATATATATATATATATATATATATGTTTTCTCAGGTTTTCGCGGGTGTTTGTATGTAGGTCTTTGGTTATTCGGGTCTTCTCCCACGTAAAATTGGAAGTGTCTAGGCGATGTTTTGACGAAGTCTCATTCGTCATCTCCAGGCTGGTGTTCTCGGCTTCGTGCTTCCAGGAACAATGTGAGATCGCAGCTGTCTCTTCCTTTTAACTGCTAGTGGGGGTGTGAACTGATTGGGTGGGGACTTGGCTGTGTTCTGATTGGGTGGAGGTGTGTTCTGATTGGTTAGGGGCTTGGCTGTGCTCTGATTGGATGGGGGGTTGGTTGTGCTCTGATTGGCTGGGGGTGTGTTCTGTTTGGGTGGGGGCTTGGTTGTGCTCAGCTTAGTCTGAGTTGCAGGGGGATTTGAGCTGGTGAGCTGCGTTGTTGTTGTTTGGCTTCGTGTTTGTGGCCGTGCGAGCTCTTCATGGTGGGTGTCAGTCTGCTTCATGGATGGATTGGAGGGGTTTAAAGTGGCTAATGATGCAGCTGCGGTCTGGCTTCTGGTCCTTGGTCGTGGCTCATTATCAATCATTATCATTATTGTTCCTGGAAGCACGAAGCCGAGAACACCAGCCTGAAGATGACGATATATATATATATATATATATATATATAAATATATATATTTTTCTTACTTCTTCGTAGGGTTTATGTGTGTTTTTCTTCTAGCCAGGTTTTCCCTACATAGCCAAGGTTTTTTTGTAGTACTGAGTAGTTTTTTGTAGTACTGAGCTGGAGCTACAAAAAAACCTTGGCTATGTAGGGAAAACCTGGCTAGAAGAAAAAAACATATATATATATATACACACACACACACACACACACACACACACACACACGTACCTTCCTCCTATTTTCCCACAACAACCCTGTGAGGTGGGTTGACGTAATCCTTGATTTATGACCATTGGTTTAACAAGCATTGAAAGTTGCGATGCCACTGAAAACTGTGACTTAGGACTGGTCCTTGCACTTACGACAGCTGCAGCATCTCCACGGTCACGCGGTCCAAATTTTGAGCCCTCCGAACCAATCGTGTATTTACTTACGATGGCTGCAGTGTTTTTGCGACTTCCCAGCTGGCTTCCGACCAGCCCAATTAAGGGGGAAAAGCCCAATTCACTGAAACACAACGAGCCGCTAAAAGGACCACAGCCAAAAGGTTGCAAAATTGGGCACGACTCACTTAGTGACCGCATTGCTTAGTGACGGAACTTTCAGTCCCAATGGCGGTCATAAGTCAAGGACAACCGTTTGTCGTTCGTGCTGACAAGAATGGCTATTTCTGTTCACGGCTGCCTTGTTCCCAGCAGGCCCATTTCTCTTTGAGGTCTCCCAAAATGGAAAATAAAAGACGTGCTTTTTATTTTGATTAACGGGGCTGCCCGTTTTTAATTGCATCGTTAATCAAGAGTGTGCATCAATCCGTAGAACAAGACAATTTCATAGCAGATTTTATCAGCACCTGGGCTCTTCGGACCGAAGGACAGACTTGTTCAGTTTTTAAGGAGGATGGGTTACCGGGCACTTTTACATGAGTAATTTAATTTAATTAGCTTTGTTACGGCCATTCTTTCCAGGGGATTTCAGCTGGCTTACAAAAGGCCCCCAAACAATGAAACAATTAAAAAAAAACTCACATTAAACAGCCAGCCCGGATTTTTAAAAAAATACAGAACAATAAAAGGTAACCAAGCGGAACATACAAATAAGATTGCTGAAAGCACCAACTTCTTATACAAGTAGTCCTCGGCTTACAAGCTTGGAGAAGCCACAGGGGGAGGGGAGGGGGAGGGGGGGTTAGGGAGGAGGGGGGGAAAAAAAGGGGGAAAAAATCTGTATTTGAAAAACTTTTTCAATAAAAAAAAAAGAAGTCGCAACGGCGCTGAAAAAAGTGACTTATGACCGTTTTTCACACTTACGACCGTTTGCAGTACTTATGATGGTCGCAGCGTCCCCGGGATCACGTGATCCGTTTTTGCGACCTTCCGACAAGATTAATTTAATGGCCATGTGACTAAATTAACTGCAGGGATTGACTTAAAACTGCCGCGAGGAAGGTTGTAAAATCGGACAAAACTCACTTAGCAACCTCTTGCTTAGCAAGAGAATTTTTGGATTCCGTTAATTAATTAATTAATTAATTAATTAATTAATTTATTAATCAAATTTCTATACCGCCCTACTCCCGAAGGACTCAGGGCGGTGAACAGCCAAGATAAAATACAAATAATACAAATATTAAAAAATCCCTTAAAATGATTAAATATCTTGGCCGAAACACAGATTAAAACACCCAATTTATAAAATCACAAATTAAAAATTTAAAAAAGGAGAATTAGGCCACCGTTAAGGCGGTGTAAGTTAAGGATTAACTCTAGTCCTTGACATATGACTGTCACGGAGCCTGCCCTTTATAGTCATAGGTCGTGACGGTCATAAAATGAATCAGGTCACATGACCAACTTTTTTTTTTTTTTTTTTTTGCAGCAAACATTAAGCAAATACGGGGGTCGTAAGTGGGAATCCGTCCCTCGCTATAGAATAGATGCCGTTTTGCCCGAAATGGAAATAATAAGTCTTGCTTTTCTGCAAAAAAAAAAACAGAGTTCCGTGACGGTGGCATGCTGCGAACATCGGTTCATGTGGCCATGTAGTGACGCGTCCACGGTGTGGCCACGTGAGCATGGATGGACGGGTGGAATGGAGGGCTGACTATCCTCATTTCAGCTCTAGGTCATGAGTCCCGTTTTGCAAATAGGTTGTGATTTTGAACGGTTTTGCTAAGCGACCGGTCGTAAGTCAAGGAATGCCTGTATCTGGGCTGCAATATCCAGTTTGACCTGTAGGGGTCAGTCAAAGGACACACAAAACTCTTAGCACAGAGGTGTCCAACCTCAGCTGCTTTAAGACCTGCGGACTTCAACTCCCAGAATCCCCCAGCCAGCTTTGCTGGCTGGGGGATTCTGGGAGTTGAAGTCCGCAGGTCTTAAAGCAGCCGAGGTTGGGCATCTCTGGCCTAGCTCTTTGCTGCCACCTAGTGGCTGACCCAGATTTACACCCCCTACTTTTCACAGCCTGCAGAGACGCCCTCAATTCCTCCCAGTGTCCTCGATGAGGAGTGCCCCCACCTTCAAGGCCCGCCTCCCCCTTCCTGAGCTTCTACTCACTGTTGAAATGCAGTAAGGCTTTCGGGGTGACTGGGGTAGACGTCAGAACCAGCATCTCCAGGCCTTTTAAGCCTTCCCGACACACCTCGGCCGCCACCTCTTGGTTGACCTCCGTCACGTGGTCCAGCTCCAGCACTTGAAGACGCATGCAGTTCCGGGCTGATAGGGAAGAAGAAACATTGGAGACTCAGACCGGACTGGACGTTGCACCTGAGTGGTCAAGGGGTCACGGTCCTGATATAGTAAGCTGGTCAAAATTCTCCAGCCGGCAGGGTTTAAGATGGGTGGACTTCAACTCCCAGAATCCCCCAGCCAGCAGGGTTTAAGATGGGTGGACTTCAACTCCCAGAATCCCCCAGCCAGCTGGGTATAATATGGATGGACTTCATCTCCCAGAATCCCCCAGCCAGCATGCTTTAAGATGGGTGGACTTCAACTCCCAGAATCCCCCAGCCAGCAGGGTTTAAGATGGGTGGACTTCAACTCCCAGAATTCTGGGAATTGAAGTCCACAAGTCTTAAAATAGCCAGGTTTGGCCACCCCTGCCTTAAACCATGGTCAGCCTGAAGACATGATAAAACCACCTTCCGTGCCTCTTTTCCTTCCTTCTTCCTGGGCCAGAAAGGGTCCCAAATCTGGACTTACCTAAGGAAGCCAGTCCTTGCAGGCCGCAGCCGGCTCCTCCGACGCCCAGGGCTCTCAAGTGTGGCCAGCAACGCCCAATCATCTGCAGACAACGGTTACTAAACCTGGTGGGTTGCTGGCTGGAAAATATTTTTAAAAGAAGAGAGACAAGAAACGAATCGTGAAGATCACGTCGCGGAGATACAAATTAGGAAGAGAACATGTCAACGGAGCTGGTTGGAGCTTCTTTGTAGCTTGATCTCCAGAGAGCGGGGGGGTGGGGGGGTTGGGGGGTTGCCAAAAAAGAGAAAAGAGACCTGTGAATATCTGGGGGTGCCTCTTACCAAGGATGGAGGGGTGCCACCTGCAGAGAGATGATATCTCGACAACCTGCTCCCAAGGCCCAGATGACTTCATGGCCCACAGGATCGGTGGAGCTCCTGGTCCGGGAAAATAGAAGAAGAAGAAGAAGAAGAAAAAAGAGATTAATTCTTCTGGAAAATGGGCATAGATTAGGGAAAGAGACCCATAGATTAGGTTTGGCAAAGGACAGTGGTGAGATCCTCCCAGTTTAACAATTGGTTTGGTGATCGCGTGCTTCGCGGCAATCTGCTCTGCCGCGCGAATCAGCTGAGAAGATAAAGGTAGGAAAATAGTACGGGTGGGCCCATCTGATCGTCGGGGAGAACCGGTTTGCTCCCAGCTGATCGTCGGAGCTAACGGTTCACCCGAACTGGTCCAAACCGGTACAATCTCACCCCTGGTAGAGGAGCTGCATAGGAAAACAAATACTGATATTTGTCTGTGTTTTTTTTTTTTTTAAAAATCACAAAACGAGGGCAGACTTGGAGGGAATTGGTTTGCAATTTACCGTAATTTTTTGGGTCACCAGTTGCCTTATCTGTACACTCTCAGAGGTAGGCTGTACTTGTTTCTAAATAAACCAGACTTACTAGAAGTCAGAGGAATTAATTGCACAAGAGATTGGCAGACTTCACCTTAGTTTTCCATTAGGAAGGTGTGAGCATCCTTGACTAAGCTAAATCCCCCCAAGAAACCCTAGGGAATTCCTGGAAACCTGCAGGCAGTCAGACAAATCGCCCATCAACTGGCACATAAAGATAAACAACACTTACACACCTTTCAAAAGAGAGACAATGAAAAAGCTAAAAAGGAAACAAAAAGATGAAACCACCTTCTTGACGGCAATCAACAGGCAAATAGGACAGGCATTAATCCCAGGATTAAGACTACTAGACCAACAACCAAGACATAAACAACACCTCAATCAAGGAACTACCATCTCAGACCAACAATCCAGCAGTAAATAACAGCCTAATTAAGGAATCACCAAGAACTCTCCTACCAATATTGACTTCAAGGCAAGCCACTTGTATGTAAACAGAGAGCACACCCCAGCCCTTCTAGTACTGATGATGCTACCTAGTTGGGTCATGAAACGTCTGCAGGAAAACCACAGTTTACTATAGAGAGTACCAAGGACCCCACATTATTATTATTATTATTATTATTATTATTATTATTATTATTATTATTCCTCCTCCCTCCACAATCCCCACTCCCTTCTAGCACTGATGATGCTACCTAGTTGGGTAATGAAATATCTGCAAGAAAACATCCAAGCTCAGAGACTACCAAGCAGGAGTGGGTTCTAAATTTTTTTACTACCGGTTCTGTGGGCGTGGCTTATTTTGTGGGTGTGGCTTGATGGTCATGTGACAGTGGGTGTGGCTTGATGGTCATCTGACTGGGTAGGCATGGTCAACTCAATGTCACTCAAGTCAAGGGGAGTCATAGATTTTTTGACCACGCCCCTTGTTCCTTCCTCTCAGGCCCAGTTTTGACTCAGTCAGTCTGAGAGAAACATCTCTAGCAGATTTGGCTTTCAGCCATTGTCTGTTCGATTATCTCAGAGTCACTGTGAGTTTTTTGACCAAACAATGCTTTAGGATTTAGCAAAGGTACTGGTCTACAAAGCTTTTAACTGCTTGCAGAGCCATACTGGTCTACCCATTTGTTTTTGGAGCACACCAGTCTACCACCACACTGCCCTTTGAAGCGCCGCAGCAAGAGTTTAAACAGTTTTTTGCCGCTCTGCTACCACCGAGAGCATCGGAAACCGCTTTCAGGCAGCTTGGCCTCAATTGCCAATCTACCACCACCGAGCGGTTTACAAGGAGCGGATCGGTTCTAGCCGATCAGTTGGGAGGCTTCTTGGCTTCTCAATTTAAAGCTACGGTGTCTTGTTTTTTTTCCCTCTTCTTTGTCAAGTGAGCCCTGATTTTTTTCTTTCTAGCCGATCAGCTGGGAGTCGGGAGGCAGCGAATATATTCGGGGCGGGGCCAGACAGAGGTGGTATTTACCGGTTCTCCGAACTACTCAAAATTTCCACTACTGGTTCGCAAGAAGCAGGGAGAACCGGTAGCAACCCACCACTGCCACCAAGGACCCCACAGTCCTCCTCCTCTTCCTCCACTCTGCAAATTCCCCTCTCTTCTAGCACTGATGATGTTACCGAGCTGGGTCATGAAACATCTGCAAGAAAAGCACCAAGCTCAAAGAGTACCCTATTTCCAGTTGATCGCCATCCCATGATAGGGCAGAACAAAAGGGTGGTCTCCATGATAGATTTGGGGGTACCCAAACCAGTACCCCCATCCAGTAGGAAGTGCCTTACATATTCCTGTAGGCAAAAGAGGCCACGTAGACGACAACAAGCCTAAATGAAAACTGAATTGAAACTTTTGCCAATGGGTGGATTTTTGTGGGAAGATGTCGGCTCCCTGTTATGAGATTAGGGCATCTCACCCATCTTTGGTCCCTTTCTCTCCATAAAACGGTAAGCATTGTAAATTCCTGCACATCCCTGTGAGTCTTAGAGGTGGCAAATCAATCAATTTAATAAAAAAAATAACCTTTGTAAAACTAGCTTGGGCTTTTTTGTCATGTTGCATGACCCAGTTCCACGCTAGAGAGGAGCCTAAAAATAAGCAAGCATGAATTATCTGGAAAAATTCATCTGCCTCTCCAGCCAAGGCTCCTGAATTGTTTGGCAGTCGTCTTAATTAAAAGGATGAGTCATCCTGACAGATTAGAAAACTGCCAAATTCTGCAGGTACATCTGACTAGCCAGAGTGAAAAAGAGGGAGAAAGGGAGGGAGTGGAGGATGGGGACATTTGCACCCAGAAGGACTGCAGATCTAATGTGATGCATTGCTCCCAGCCAGACTGTTAAACCCGAATTAAAGATAATCGTCGATTTACGACGATTTCCGTTGCTAAGCAAGTGTGGGAAGTACACCCCAAACGGAAAGCACCGGAAATCTTGGAAAACTGTGCCAAAAAACAGGAAAACAAAACGCAGGGCAATCAGAAACAAGCCAGGGTCGCTCCAGCTGTGTCACTTCTTGCTTCTTGCCTTCCTACATTAAAAGAATTCCACTTTCTGGCGGCTGGCTTCTGCATCCATTTCTTCTCAGCGTCTGTGGTGTATCCCAACTGGGAACGAATCGGGGAAATTTCTTCCAATGGCAAGAGAGTTGTTAAATGAGTTTCGTCCCATTTTACAACTGTTGTTCCCACCGTGATTCAGTGAAAGGCTGCGGTTATTAAATTAGTCGCACGGTTGTTAAGTGAATCTGGCTTCCCCATTGGCTTTGCTTGTCAGAAGGTCACAAAAGGGGATCACGGCATTTCTTGCCATGGTTGTTAAGTGAATCAGTGCAGTTGTTGAGTTAGGAACATGGTTAAGTGAATCGGGCTGGCCTAAATTATTATTTTTAATGGGTTATTTTATGTTATTTTAGATCATGGACCAAATTATTTAATAATTTTAAATTGTTTTTAACTATTATATTGTTGGTTTTTTATCCTGGCTGGACACCGCCCCGAGTCCTTCGGGAGAAGGGCGGTATATAATTTTAATAAAACTAAACTAAAACTAAACTAGATGAGACGAGAGATATGGGACGAGATGAGATGATAGGAACCAACTTTCTGTAGCACCTCACGACTCTCAGTCTTGGTGGTGCAGGAGGACCAAAACACCAAGAACACAGACAGATCCACTGGGGTAAGATTACAAAAACAGGAGACCTAAAGTCCTCCAGATGTTGGGAGATCCCTGCTTCTCCAGATGTTGCTCAACTACAATGGATGGAGTGGTATAATTCAGCAACATCTTCTGCAGATGTTCTAAAGTCCCAGAGATGACCTTGAAAAAAAACCAGGTTTCTTCAGATCCCAACATTAAAGCGGATTTGTCGTCGCTTAGTTCTCCAACCTCATCTTTGGGGTTCTCCTAAACCTACGGAGATGCTTTCTGACTGTTCTTGCAAGCCGGGATCACCACCGTTCCACTTCAGAAGCCACCTACGCCAAGTCAGCTCCTCCACTTTTAATTGGAGAGCTCCACAGAGGACCTGACCACAATCTGGACCACCTTCTACCTCACCAAAGCTCTGATGTGGGCAAGAAAGGAACCAGGAGAATGCTAGATGGTGTTGTGGCCCGTCAGCGGCCTGGGCAGCTAGTAGCTAATTCCGACAGCAAGGAGGCTGGTGTGGTGCTGCGCCAGCAGCCTGTGTAGCTAGCACTCGAGTTGGACAATGAGGAGGCTGGAGAAGATGTGGTGCCAGAGGCGGGGATTGAGCCAGGGCCTTCAGAACCTCCAGAAGCTTCCATGGGTGAAGAGGAAGAAGAGGAGGAGCCTCTTCTCAATGCACAGGCGCGCAGAGCTGCCAAAAGGCAGGAGTGGCTCCTCAGGAGGAGGCTTGGGGCTAATTGGCCACTCCCTTAGCCTATTTAAGGAGGAATGCTGACTGAAGCAATTTGAAGGGAACAACTCCGTTCACATTCCTCGCGACCGGATCTTAGTTCTTTTATCAGTGTCCTGCAAATTGCTTCTGGGCTTTCTGCCAATCCTAGTAAGATTACGATTATTTATTCTTTGGATTCTTGTAGGCTGTTAAGAAAGTTAATAAACAGCCTTTGTTTGAAAAAGACTGATTTAATTTAGTCAACTAAGGTTTGTACAGACTTTGTGTGTGCTGCGTTCTTTGGGGTCCGTAGCTGGGGCAGAACAGATGGTCCCTAGAACAGGTTGTCCACACGATGCCCTCTTAGATACCAACAATGAATTAATCTCCAGGCTGGTTGGAGTATAAGAACGGCAGGGACGGAGATGCCAACTCAACAGATGCCAGGGGTGTTGTGTGTTTCCTTTCACACAATCTGCTGTGGAAAATTCTGCAGTGGAGATATTGTTCCGTGCTCCTCTCTCCTGCCAGCTATGTGTCCCCGGCACCCTCTATTCTTAGAAGCGGCGTCATGTCCGAATGCCACCTCGAGCCCACACCTCGCCGCTGCCGCCTTTTGACAGGAGCCTCGTTGTCTATGCCGCTAATTTCCTTCGGCAGAAACACAATGGCACAGCAAATGAGTCAGAGAGGGTTGCAAACAGGCAGCCATTGAAATAATCTCCCATGCCTGAATCCCGGAGGGAAAACGAATGTGATCAAACCTAAAGAGAACAACAGAGATGGAAGGGGCCTTGGAGGTCTTCTAGTCCAACCCCCTGCTCAGGAAACATTGAGAACCACTATAAGGACAGGTGCTCCTCGGTTTACGACCACAATTGAGCCCAAAGTTTCTGTTGCTAAGAGAGAGAGAGACAGTAAAGTGAATTTTGCCCCATTTTACAACCGGTTGTTAAGGGAATCTGGCTTCCCCCCCGCTCCCCACATTGACTTTGCTTGTGAGAAGGCCGCAAAAGGGGATCACATGATCCCAGGACATTACAAGTGTCATAAATACAGGCCAGTTGCTAAGTGTCCGAATTTCAAGGAGGGGTTGGACTAGATGACCTCTAGGGTGAATTCTCTGTTATTCCTTTATTTTCTATTTTGAGGGCTGCCCCCTCTTTTTTTTTTTTTTTCCTTCCCCAGAGACCGTCTCATTGCCTGATTCCAGCTGGGCTAATTATAAGGTGTCTCCCTCCAAAGCTTGACACCACAATAACCCCGTCACAACCCACTGGAGAGCTTGTCTCCCTGGCAGTGCCAACTATGCCAAGAACGAAGCCTTGGGTACCGCCACCCCCAATCTTTTGTTCTCTTGCTGCTTCTCCAGCCCCGACGGAGACAGTAAAGGCTGTGATTATTTCACACCGCCTCTCTCTTCTCCGTGCGGGTGCCAAGAACTGTCTGGTTGGCATCGCTGCCAACTTTGCCGTTGTTCTCCCTGGGACTCTGAGATGCCTCTGGGGAGTACGGCTTCAGATTTGCAGCAGAGAAACCCTGAAAACAGAACTGATGGGCCGGGGGCTCCTCTTGTTTCCATTTTTATTGGTCCCAAAGGACAATATGGGTCGTCCTCGACTTACGACCACCACTGACTCCAACCTTTCCGTTGCTAAGTGAAACAGTTACGTGAGTTTTGCTCCGGTTTACTTTTCTTGCCGCCGTTGTTTGAGCGAATCATTACAGTTGCTAAATTAGGAACCTGGTTGTGAAGCGAACCTGGCTTCCCCATGGATTTTGCTGGTCAAAAGGTCGCAAAAGGGGACTGCGTGACCTCCAGGATGCTATAACTGTCGCAGGGGTGAAATTCAGCAGGTTCTGGAGAACTGGTAGTGGAAATTTTGAGTAGTTCGGAGAACTGGCAAATATCACCTCTGGCTGGCCCCCGAGTGGGGAGGGAATGGGGATTTTGCAGTATCCTTCCCCTGCCACGCCCACCAAGCTACACCCACACAACCGGTAGTAAAAATAATTTGAATTCCACCACTGAGTCAAAGTCACATGCCAATTACCAAGTGTCAGAATTTTGATTGGCCATAGTAATGTAGATAAAAGAAATAATGTGAATAAAATAGGAATCATACAGAGTCAGATATATGGGCTCTGGGGGACCCTCTCTATTCACATTATTATAAGGGGAAGACATGCTTGGATACATGAACTCTGAGAGAACCTCTCTATTCACATTATTATAAGAGAGGAAAGTGCTTGTTGGAGATTATATTAACAAACAGTTAAACCCCATTAAGTGGTAATATATCTTCTGATGAAACCTAGATGTCATGAAAGGACAGCCATATGGAAAACATCTGAGTGACCTCACTATGAATGACACAAAGACCTATATGTTACAAAGAGTTACTTAATCCAATAAATTTACCCAAGGACAGTAGTAAATCTCCCATTAGCAACTCTGGGCACTTAAGGAAAAGTTGTGTGGCTAAAATAATTTTATAAACTAAAATTAATGGTATAAGTAATTAGATGAACATATTATCCAATGTATGTAACCATATAGGGAAAATCGGATGTATGATCTCATGTTAACCATATATGGAAAATGTATGATCTCACTGAATCCTTTGTCTTAGAAATGTATAAAACCAGTTGTATCAGAGTTCTCTTCTTGTTCAAAGCTTCAGGTACAAAACTGGCTCTGAACCTTGCGCAATAAAACTGTCTCTGGCTGACCCAGGAATGTTGTTTGGTCTCATCATTCCACAACAATAGGGATGCTGCAATGGTCGTTAAGTGTGACAGTCATAAGTCACTTTTTAAAATGCCATTGTAACTTCAAACGGCCACTAAACGAGGGCTTGTTAAATGGAGAACTGCTTCTAAGTTGGGGGAACGTAAGGTGTCTAGGCTAATTCCTCTCTTGACTCCGCCACCAGCTCTGCCTCTCCTTTTCCTACAGCAGCTCAATCTTGCTAGAAGGACCTTCTTGGTCAAACTGGACCGACCTTGGCCTGAGGTTGGCCGGCCAAACAGGGTCAGTCCTTCTTCTTGAGATTGAGAAACTCTGATTTGCTTGGAAGCCCCCAGTGGCCCCCGCTTATTGGGGGTGGGCTGCTGGGGGTTCGCAGGGGTTCGGAAGAACCTCTAGGTAAGAGTCTGTGCAGTTCGGAGAACCCTCAAATCCCACTCCTGACTGGCCCCACCCACCCCACCCCGCCCTTCCCAGGTTTCCCCATGTGGTCCTTTTTGGATGCAGGTAAGTGCAGGGCAGTGTGGAGGCTCGGGGAGGGCAATAAACGGTCCTACTGGAAGTTCGGGAAGGGCCTCAAAAGGGCCTCTAGAGCCTGGGGAGGCCGTTTTCGTCCTCCCGGAGGCTTGAGAAAAGCCTCCGGAGCCCGGGGAGGGCAAAAACGCCCCTCCACCATGGTGCAGGAGGCTGACTAGGCCACGCCCACCATGGCCACGCCCACCCACCAACCAGGCAGAGAACCCCTTTTTGAAGCCCACTCCTGCCACTTACCGATAGGTGACGGCTTGGAGAGCTCGGCAGTAGCAGCTGGCCAGCCAGAGAGAACGATCCGTCAAAATGTTGGGGCAGTGGGAAACCCGTAGGATCAAGAGGTTACTCCCGGAGGCTTTGAGTAAGGACTCCAGTCCTGCTTCGAGGCATCCCCTAGCAAGGCAAATCCCCCCCCCAAAAAGGAAGAGAAAAATTACAAATTATTTAAATTGATGGCTCTGTGGAGTTGCTTATGCCCGTAGTGAGCCTTTCTGCAAATTAAAACTCTTCAGAGAAACAAGGGTTAAATCAATATGAAACTACGTTGATCAGCTGCAGGCCTAATTTACACCATGATTTGTTTGCATGTTGTGGTTTGAAAAAATCCTGTGTTTGATTTTCAATGTTCTCAACTTATAACAGTGTCAATTGCTGAGAAAATTGGAAAAAAAATATATTAATGCAACTTATTTGGAAAAGGGATGGTTTAAATCTGTGTTTTGCAAACGTGGCCATTTTAAGATGTGTGGACTTCAACTCCCAGAATTCCCCACCCAGCCTTTGTAGACTTCACCTTCCAAAATTCCTTACCCAGCATATATAGACTTCAATTCCTAGAATTCTTCAGGTAGGACTTCAACTCCCAGAATTCCCCAGCAGCATGCAGGCTGGGGAATTCTGGGAATTGAAGTCCGTATAGCTTATAAAAATGATGAGTTCAAATGCTTAGTTCCAAATCATTGACAAACTCCAGCCTTCCCAGTGGAACCTGAGAGCTGTGCTGGTTGGGGACGATGGGAATCCTTGTACCAGATGTTATTAAGTTTCAGCTTATTAACAACTGCCCACCTATCCACCAAGAACCTCTCAGGGGCGAATCAATGAGAACAGAGAATCACATTAAAACGAAAACCCAATGGAAACTCCATTGAAAACACCAAACACCAACCCATGTGTCCCTGCCAGAACCCCCAAAACTAGTGCCCTGCCTCTGTGCCAACAGCAGTGGCTGATGGTCTTTGGATGGCCACCGGGAACATTGTCAGTAGCTCCTCTCCTGAGCCAGGAAAAGTGAGGGCCACTGGATTGTATGACCAGTCTCCCCACGTTCTATAGATCTTATCAGAATTGCAGAGTTGGAAGGGACCTTGGAGGTCTTCTAGTCCAGCCCCCTGCTGAAGCAGGAAACCCCATACTATTCCAAACAAATGGGTGTACCAATCTCCTCTTAAAAACCTCCAGTGATGAAGCATTCACAACTTCTGGTGGCAAGCTGTTCCACTGGTTAATTGTTCTAACTCAGTGATGGCTAACCTTTTTGCTGTCGCGGGCCAAAAGCGGGAGGAACACAGGGGAGGGGGTCGCGGACATGCATGCCCACACCCATAATTCAATATTCCCCTGTGCCCCAACCCCGCGCATGCGTGCGCAACAGCCCCCCCCGTTTCCCCCGCTTTTGGCACATGATGGCAAAAGGGTTACCGGTGGACTCAGTAGGCCCATTTTTCGCCTTCCCCAGGCTCCAGAAGCTTTCTTGGAGCCTGGGGAGGGCTAAAACAACCTTCCCCACCCCCTTGAGGCTCTGGGGAGGCCGGAAACGGCCCATTTCCCAATTTTTGAAGACCCAAAAATCAGCTGGCCGGCGCGCACATGTGCGCTGGAGCTGAGCTCAGGCAACACTCGCATGCCCACAGATATGTCTCCACGTGCCACCTGTGGCACGCGTGCCATAGGTTCGCCATCACGGTTCTAACTGTTAGGAAATTTCTCCTTAATTCCAGGTTGCTTCTCTCCTTGATCACTTTCCATCCGTTGCTTCTCGTCCTGCTTGCAGGTGGTTTGGAGAATAGGTGGACCCCCTCTTCTTCTTTGGGGCAGCCCCTCAGATATTGGAAGTCAGCTCTCTTCCTCACCGTGTGCTTTTCATGTAATCCTCCTTCGTCTCCTTCTTCCCCCTTTGCCTGGGCTTGAGATTTTGGAGGGTGAGAGAGTGGGTCTGGGTGCACCATTGTGACAACATGACCAGGAACTGTGCAAGAAAAACAAACATGGAATCAGAGACTGCCGGCACGAAGTTGTAGTTTTCTCTAAATAAATATATTTCACATTTAGAGGTAGTCCTTGATTTAACGATCATAATTGAGCCGAAAATTTCTGTTGCTAAGCGAGACCTATGCTAAGTGAGTTTTGCCCCAACTTTCTTGCCACCGTTGTTAAGTGAATCACTGCAGTGGTTAAGTTAATAACTCAGTTGTTAAGGGAATCTGGCTGCCCCCTTGACTTTGCTTGACAGAAAGTCGCCAAAGGGGATCGCGTGATCCCAGGGACACTGCGACCGTCATAAATAGGAGTCAGTGGCCAAGTGGCTGAATTTTGATCTCGGGGAAGCTTGTAATGGTTGTTAAGTGTGAAACACGGTCACAAGTCACTTTTTTCAATGATGGGGTAACTTCGAATGGGCACTAAATGAAGTGTTGTAAGTCGAGGACTTATCAGTATATATGCAACAAACAAACGAGAGCCGGGCACATCGCTACATTGTGAGGTAAATCGTGAGGTAAATCACAGAACAGCATAGAGAGCACACAAAAGGGAAAAAAAGGCGGGAAAAAAGGGAACCTCCCCTTTTACACCCAACAACCAATCATAACGAAGGTTGCCTCATGCAGCAGCCCGTACTCTCCAATCAATCAACTACAATGGTGTGTTGTGGCTCATTATACTGTACACTTTACAGTAATATTTAATCTTTAATAAGATTAAATATCTTATAGAGGCGCTATTATGCAAAGACACTGGAGAAAAAAAAAGAGAAATGGGCTCCATTTCTCCACTACACTCCAAATGGGAGTCTGCTTTGCAACCACAATAAACTGATACAAGTAGTCCTCGATTTACAACACGCTGTTTAGTGACTGTTCAAAGTTACAACATCACTGAAAAAAAGTGATGCATGACCTTTTTCTCACACTTACGACCGTTTTGGTCACGTGAACAAAATTCAGACGCTTGGCAAGCTGACTCATATTTATGACTGTATCCCGGATTCCCTTAGCAACCATGTTGCTAACTGAACAGCTCCAAGGATTCATTTAACAACCGTGGCAAGGAAGGTCGTAAAGCGGGGCAAAGCTCACTGAACCACTGCCTCACAGAGATTTGGGGCTCAGTTGTGAGCTTAGGTTGAGAACTCCCTGTACTTTATGGAATGGGGTAGGAACCAGAATCAGATTAGCATCCCCGCTTGACTACTGCAGGAGTCGAACGAGGAGCTACCCTTGAACACTATCCACCAGCATCCAATGGCACAAAAAAAGGCCGCCACGTTATATCTCGAGGCACCGTATCGCAGCACATCACATCCATGTTGTGCATGTTGTTTGCTGGACACAATTCAAGGCCTTGGTTTTGGTGGGCGTGGCCAACTTTTTTTTTTTAATTTTTCAAAGCATTTTTTCTAATGCTTTGAAAAGCCTCTGCCGATCAGGCAACTCAGCTGGGATCGTCAGAGAGGCTTTTTAAAAAAATGCTTTGAAAAGCCTTTCCGACGATCAGGCAACTCAGCTGGGATCGTCAGAGACTTTTCAAAGCATTTTTTTTTACCACCTCTTCGGCCAAGAAGATGCAGAAAAAAATGCTTTGAAAAGCCTCTGACGATCCCAGCTGAGCTACGCGATCATCAGAGGCTTTTTTTTTTTTTAACTTTTAAAAGCATTTTTTCATCGGAAGAGGTTGTAGAAAAAATGCTTTTAAAAGTAAAAAAAAAGCCTCTGATGATCCTGCGGCTCAGCTGGGCATGGAGGGGCAGGGCGCAGGGATTTTTGCTACCGGTTCTCCGAACCACCAGCCGCCATCGCTACCGGATCAGGCGATCCGGTCCGAACCGGGAGCATTTCACCCCTGATGTATAGTTAATTTTAACTGGTTTTTTTAAAATGGCATATTAAGTTTTGTTCTTTATGGCGAGCTGGCCTGCCTTCAACGAGCAGGAAGTTGGGACACAGCGAGTAAATAAAGAAATTGGCAATCAACAAAGGGCAAATATTGAATCGAGAAAAAAAAAAAGTATAAGCATGTATCAAATCCAGACTCCACCAGGAAAATAAATATTCCGTGCAAGTCCACTCAAATGAAAGTCCACTCAGTGGACATTCTGCAAGTCCACTGCAGAATGAAAAATGGCAGCTGGAATGACAGCCCAGGACGAGGAGAAAAGGGAACATCAGTTCACACCACATCCAGAAAACCCTCAGAGACTCTGAGACGCTTGTGACAAATATCGGTACAGGTAGTCCTTGACTTACAACCATTCGTTTAGTGACCGTTCAAAGTTACAACGGCACTGAAACACGATGATTTACAACGACGGTCGCACCTCCCCATGTTCACATGATGAAAATGGAGATATTTGGCAACTGGCATATACAGTTAGGCCTCGACTTTTAACCACGACGGAGCCCAAAATTTTATATTGTGAAGTGAGGCAATTATTGAATTTTTGCCCCATTTATGACCTTTCCTGCCACAGTTGTTAAGTGAATCACTGCCGTTGCTAAGTTGGCAACACGGTTGTTAAGCGAATCTGGCTTCCCCATTGATTTTGCTTGTCAGAAAGTCCGTCATAGGGGACTTCCGGTTTGCTGGCCGCCGGCGAAGACGGTCTCTTCTTAAGGACCGCCAGCCCCGCCGTCTGTAGAGCCGCTTCGACATCGAGAAGCGGCTTGAAAACTCCAAAATCCGAAGGATCTGAATTTTGATTACCTGGCCATGAGGATGCTGCAATGGTCATAAATATGAAAAACGGCCATAAGACATTTTTTTCTGTGCCGTTGTAACTTTGGTCACTAAATAAACGATCGAGGAGTACCTGTAATAAAAGAGAAGAACCTCCAACCTCAGGAGCAGAAAGCTCTGTTTTACCTTTGAGGAGACTCTGGCATTTTCCAGCAATACCCTAGTCCACACTGCGGGGTGTCGTGCCACAAATTTCCAGTCCTTGCAGACTTCCGCGGCCCTGAGCAAGGTCTTGGTGTCGAGGTACGTGAAGATGCAGAAGAGGGCAGCCCGCATCTTCAGGATTTCCGGGCTGATGACCTCGTTGGAACGGGAGGCGCTTCCCCTCTCCGGCCGGGCCGCTTTTCCAGCATCGGACCTGGCTGGGGCGTAAAAAATTATTAATTATGTTTATATGCCGCTCAGCTCACTGTCAAGCCACTGGGTGGTTTACGAGCATCACCAAAACAGAGGTGCAAACTTTGAGAGATTAAATACAGGTAGTCCTCGATTTACAATTATTATTAATTGTGTTAAAGGTAAAAGTTCCCCTCACACATACGTGCTAGTCGTTCCCAACTCTAGGGGGCGGTGCTCATCTCCATTTCAAAGCTGAAGAGCTAGCGCTGTCTGAAGACGTCTCCGTGGTCATGTGGCCGGCATGACTCAACGCCAAAGGCGCATGGAACGCTGTTCCCTTCCCACCAAAGCTGGTCCCTATTTTTCCACTTGCATTTTCTACCTGCTTTTGAACTGCTAGGTTGGGACAAGTAACGGGAGCTCACCCCGTTACGCAGCACTAGGGATTCGAACTGCTGAACTACCAACCTTTCGATCGACAAGCTCAGCGTCTTAGCCACTAAGCCACCGCGTCCCATTAATTGTGTTATTCTGTTATTATACAATTATTATTAATTCTGTTATTCTGTTACAGTTAACCGATGATTAACCCACTACTCCTACTGGACACTGGTCTACCTGGTGGACATACCCTACCTGCCATCCTGGAATTGTGTCCTGGCCTGGAGAAATTCACCTGCTGGACCTCAGTGGGCACCCTGGGTTCCAGCTCCCACATTTCCGCCTCCGACTCGGTGGTCCGGGATCCGATATCAGAGATGTCTCCTTCTTCGCCCTCGGTGCTGTTCCGGTACGGCCGGCGGTGCCAATTTTGAATGGCCTGTCTGCGCAAAGCCGAGCTGCGCACACCGGCGGGCCGGTCGAAGCCGCTCTCTGAGCCTCGAGACTGGTAGGATGGCCCATTGCTGTTCTCGCCCCCATGATAGGCTTCAGGACTGTCGCTGTCATAGCACCCCGAACTCTGGGAGATCGCCTTGGCGCAGCTGGAGGCCCTGAAGTGAGAGAGCCAAAAATCTAATAAAGTATCAAGTCTTCTAGGTCTGCTTTCGAGTTGCCATAAGCAGGAGGGGGGAAAACTGACGGAGCTGCTCGGCTGCCTCGACCAAAAGCACATTCCGCGCATGCCTTTCTCCAGATTGTATCCCAGGTTACTGAGGTCAGCAGGAAAGATGTGCTTTCTACAGCCTGAAGAATGTGATTTATGACACCCGGGGGGGAGGGGTAGACAGGTTCATAGGGAGCCGTAAATTACGTGGAGGCAGAGCTGACTCCGCTTGGGTAATTACCGAAATGTTGCTCCTAATAAATAACTGAATTTCTTTTGAAAATTGGAGATTATTTGTAGCTCAGGGATAGTATGAGGAGTCCTTGGTGGAAGGGTCAAAGAATCAACTCAGCATTATCTAGAACAGGGATCCCCAAAACCCTGTGCTGTGGCATGCCAAAAACCGGGCCGCGCAAACCAGCCTCATCCGAGGGATGCAGTCAGCATGAAAAACCACGTCCCCTCCGGTCCACAGAAAAAAACTTTCTCTCCACAGAACCGGTCCCTGGTGCCCCAAAGATTGAGGGGCCTCTGATCTAGACAAGACCCACAGAGAGAAGTCAACTTCGGGGTCTCTGGTCTCTGAGCTGTGCAGTGGCAGAGCTAGTATTTTGGTGGTGGGGCCTCATGAGAAGACCCTACTCACTTGACAATAGAAATATCAAGATACAAGGCTGGCCAATGGTCAAATTGAACGGACAACTCGCCGCTAACTCGCTGTGGGACAACTCAACGGAAGAAAACGACAATATTATCGTTCATAATGATTGTCAAACGTCGAATTTCGCTTTTTGCTGTTTCAGCCACTTTCGATTCTCGATAATATTAAGAGAGGAACAGGTCTACAGTGAGTTTTCCCATGGCAAGTTAAGGAGCAGAAAGTTGGCCATGGCGACTTTTCCTAGACCTGATTGTATAAGAGGCAGCCTTTTTCTTTCCCCGTTTCCAAAAATTTACAGGTTAAGCCCAGGTAGAAACGCACCGTCAATCCAAAGCTTGCCAGTTTCATCCCAGCCATGTTTTAACTGTGTTCCTTACAACAGGGGTCTCCAACCTTGGTAAGTTTAAGACTTGTGGACTTCAACTCCCAGAATTCCGCAGCCAGCTTTGCTGGCTGAGGAATTCTGGAAGTTGAAGTCCACAAGTCTTAAACTTGCCAAGATTGGAGACCCCTGCCTTAGAAGATGCACGTCAGCTGATTTTCAATCGCCTTTTACAAGTTGGGACTTAGGCTGGAATAAAAATGAACCAAGCCTGGTTTCTAGAAACTTTGTGTCTGGCACAATCGCGCCATGCTTTTCAGAGAGCGAATTCAGACCGCCACTTGTGCCAATGGAACTGCGCGTGTGCAAATGGAGTCACGCGGAATCATCCCATCTCCCTGCCACCGGTGGTTCCCCAAAGCTGGAAAGGTTGTGGGGGGCCTGCTGTTTTAACGCTTTCGATAAAAATAATAAAAAAAGAAAAAGAAAATAAATTGAAAAAGCAAAAAAGGAAACAACCAGACATGCAAAAGCGCACGCCTATGAGTTGATTTCATACCCGGTGCTGGACGATGACCTCTGATTGGAAACGGCGTAAGAGCTGTGCGGCGTTGTGTCAGCCATCGAATGCTTGTCTCTCTGAAAGGAGAGACAACAGGGAGGTCACCCCAGTTCACCCCACGTCCATGAAACCACTAGTTCCTGCTCAGAGGTGGGTTTCAGCAGGTTCTGACCAGTTCTGGAGAACCGGTAGTGGAAATTTTGAGTAGTTCGGAGAACCGGTAGTAAAAATTCTGACTGGCCCTGCCCCCATCTATTCTCTGCCTCCCGAGTCCCAGATGATCGGGAGGAAATGGGGATTGTGCAGTATCCTTCCCCCAGGAATGGGGAGGGAATGGAGATTTTACAGTATGTATGCGGAAAATGATTGCAACACATCAGGATGCATCTGAATTTTGATCTCGTGACCATGGGAACGCCGCAATGGTCGTAAATGTGAAAAATGTCACAAGTCACTTTTTTCACTGCCGTTCTAATTTTGAAAGGTTACTAAATGAATTGTTGTAAGTGGAGGACTACCAGTAACGATTTAAAGGGGAGTTTCTTTCATAGATCTGTATTTTACAATATTGATTTCATTGCATAATACCAGACACCCTGCCTCCAGATGATTCAAATACCTCTGAATTGTTCCAATATTTGAGGGGCTGCCCCAAAGAACAGGGAGGGGCAACTGATTCCCAAAAGCACCTGAAAATAGGACAAGAAACCAGCGATGGAAACTCATCAAGGAGGGAAGCAACCTGGAATTAAGGAGAAATTCCCTAACAGTGAGGACAATTACGGTAATCAGTGGAACCAGAAGTTTTGGGTTCTCCATCACTGAAAGTTTTCAAGAGAAGTCCCTTGTCTGAGATGATATAGGTCAGTGATGGCTAACCTTTTTCCTGTCGCGTGCCAAAAGTGGGGGCCGTGAGGGGGGGATTCACGCTGTGCGTGCCCACACCCATAATCCAATGCCCCCTGCACCCTGTGCATGTGCATGCAACCCCCCACTCCCTCTGCTTTTGGCACATGATGGCAAAAAGGTTACCCGGTAGGCCCATTTTTCACCCTCCGAAGGCTCCAGAGGCTTTCTGGGAGCCTGGGGAGGGCAAAAACAGCCTTCCCTACGTCCCCGGAGGCCCTCTGGAGGTCGGAAACTTCCCGTTTTCTGACTTCCAGTGGGCCTGGAAGGCCTGAAAATTAGCTGGCCAGCATGCGCATGTGCGTTGGAGCTGAGCTAGGACAACGCTCGCGTGCCCACCGATGTGGCTCTGGGTGCCATCTGTGGCACGCGCACCATCGATTCTCCATCACATGTATAGGTTCTTCTGCTTGAGCAGGGGGTTGGACTAGAAGACCTCTAAGGTCCCTTCCAGCTCTATTCTGAATTGGAATGTTTGAATTCCTAAGAAAACTGGAGAAGATCCGTCTAATCGGTTCTCTTTCCCCCTACAGAGATCCTGGCTGCTTGATCATCTGCTTTTAACTTGGATGAAATCTGACCGCAGCAGAGGACTTAAACAAAAGGTCCAGATGTGGGAAGGTCTGTATTTCAGCAGGAACCATTTTGTTCCGAAAAGCCAACATCTCCTTCCAACATGGATGCTGATCTACATTCTAGGTGGTGCGACACATCGCTCAGTAACTATGTGTAACTATGCAACTCGTTGTATAACTCCGACAGTCTCCAAGGATACAGGTTAAAGTCTGCCAATCTACCTTATCAGAGCCGAGGCTGAGAAGAATGATGTTCTCGCACGATTGCTTAAGAAGCAAAAAAAACCCACCGTAGGGTTTTTCACAGATTGAAACGTAGATTTTTAAGGAGCTTAGAGCAAAAACAGATGTTTACCGCGCGATATAAATATAAGCCGAATGTTCCCCTTGGTGCATCTTTTTAAGAACATCTTGACATCTATCAATAAGCTGAATAAGCTCCATTCATCCGCTTGTCCTCATAGTTTTCTTTTAGAATAGGGGTCTCCAACCTTGGCAACTTTAAGACCTAATGGACTTCAACTCTCGGAATTCCTCAGCTTGGTATGAAGGAATTGAGCCAGAATAAGGAGCCTGAGTGGCGTAGGAGGCTAATGCCTCCTACTAAGGCAGCATTTAACATCCAGCTGCCTGCAATTACTGCGAGTTCAATTCTCACCAGGCTCAAGGTTGACTCAGCCTTCCATCCTTTCTAAGGTAGGGGAAATGAGGACCCAGATTGTGGGGGCAATAAACTGACTTTGTATAAATATACAAAAGTATGAAGGCTATTGCTTAACGCATTGTAAGCTGCCCTGAGTCTCCAGAGAAGGGCGGCATATAAAAATAAATAAAAATAAATAAATAAAATAAAATTCCTAAATAAAAAAACAGCCTCACTATGAGTTTCATCCATTCAAAGCCTGGTGATCTGGTTTGGAATCAAGACAAGACAGGAGAAGAAGCAAAGGACGGAAGCTAATCAAAGCAGAGAAGCAACCTGGGTTTAAGGAGAAATTTCCTGACAGTGAGAACAATTAACCAGTGGAACAGCCTGCCTCCAGAAGTTGTGAGTGCTCCAACACTGGAGGTTTTTAAGAGATTGGACAACTATTCGTCTTGAATGGTCTAGGGTCTCCTGCTTGAGCAGGGGGTTGGACTAGAAGACCTCCAAGGTCCCTTCCAACTCTGTGGTTCTGTTACTGACAAGCATCGTACTCTTGAACATGGAGTTTCTATTTACTCACGCTGACCCCGCTTGCATCGACAGACTCCGTGTAAACCTTGCTGAAGGACTTTTATGCATTTAACACTGGAGGTTGCCCTGAATGAGCAGAGAGTTTCCCGGAGTTGAAGAAGGAACCCAGAGGAGTTGAGAGTAGAGTAGAGTAGAGTAGAGTAGAGTAGAGTAGAGTAGAGTAGAGTAGAGTAGAGTGGACTAAACTAAACTAGACTAGAGGAATAGAAATAGGATAGGATAGGGTAGGGTGGGGTAGAGTAAGGTAGAGTAGAGTAGAATAGAGGAATAGAGTAGAGTAGACTAGAATAGAATAGACTAGAGGAATAGATATAGGATAGGATAGGGTAGGGTAGGGTAGAGTAGGGTAGAGTAGAGTAGAGTAGAGGAATACAGTAGACTAGACTAGAGGAATAGAAAAAGGATAGGATAGGGTAGGGTAAGGTAGGGTAGGGTAGAGTAGAGTAGAGTAGAGTAGAGTAGAGTAGAGTAGAGTAGAGTAGAGTAGAGGAATAGAAATAGGATAGGATAGGAATAGGGTAGGGTAGGGTAGGGTAGAGTAGAGCAGAGCAGAGTAGAATAGAGTAGTGTAGAGTAGAATAGAGTAGAGGAATAGAGTAGACTAGACTAGACTAGACTAGAGGAATAGAAATAGGATAGGGTAGGGTAGGGTAGGGTAGGGTAGAGTAGGGTAGAGGAATAGAGTAGACTAGACTAGACTAGACTAGACTAGAGGAATAGAAATAGGATAGGATAGGGTAGGGTAGGGTAGAGTAGAGTAGAGTAGAGTAGAGTAGAGTAGAGTAGAGTAGACTAGACTAGACTAGACTAGACTAGACTAGACTAGACTAGACTAGACTAGACGAATAGAAATAGGATAGGGTAGGGTAGGGTGGGGTAGGGTAGGGTAGAATAGAATAGAATAGAATAGAATAGAATAGAATAGAATAGAATAGAATAGAATAGAATAGAATAGAATAGAATAGAATAGTAGGAAGGTGCATTGGAGGTCCTTCTAGTCGAAACCCTCTGCTCAAGCAGGAGATCCTATACCATCTCGGACAATTGGTTATCCGGTCTCTTCTTAAAAACCTCCAGTGATGAAGCACCCACGATTTCTGGTGACAAGCTATTCCACTGGTTAATTGTCCTGACGGTTAGGAAGTTGAGGTCCTGCCTTGACCACAGTCTCCGTCTCTTCCGGGAAGACTCACCTCACTCTTGGCTTCATTAGCTACACCTCGGTTGGTGTTTTTGGATCCCGGCATACTACATCTTCCCAAACTACAATTCGGAGTAGTTCCACAACTGCTGCTGATGATCTGAAGCTGCTTCTCGGCTCGGTCTGCTCGGTCCAGGAGCTCCTCAATGAACTGCTGAAGGCGCACTTTGGCGTTGGCTTCGCGGACGGCCGTCTCCTTCAAGAACTGGTCAATCTGGATGACCTCCCTGCGGGCAAGAAGCGGAGAATTAGAGCCACACACCTGGATTAAGAGAGGTACGTACGGATTACAGGCAATCCCCGATTTACGACTACAATTGAGCCCAACCTTTCTGCGGCTCAGCGAGACCGTTGTTCAGTGAGTTTTGCCCCGTTTTACGACCTGCCTCGCCACCGTCATTAAGTGAATCTCTGCCATTGTTAAGTCAGTAACACTGTTGTTCAGTGAATCGGGCTTCCCCATTGTCAGAAGGTCGCAAAAAGGGGATCGCATGACCCCCCAACCCCACCCCCGGGACTTTGCAGCCGTCATAAATATGAATCAGTTGCCAAGGGTCTGAATTTTGATGCAACATAAGGATGATGCAATGGTCATTAAGTGTGAAAAATGTCACGATGATGTTTTCACGGCCTTTGTAACTTTGAAATGGTCACTAAATGAAAAGTTGTATGTCAGAAGTCTTCAAACTTGACAGCTTTAAGACTTGTGGACTTCAACTCCCAGAATTCTCCAGCCGGGCATAGCTGGAGAATTCTGGGAGTTGAAGTCCACAAGTCTTAAAGCTGTCAAGTTTGAAGACCTCTGTTGTAAGTCGAGGATTACCTATAGTCCTCGGCTAACAACCACAGCAGAGCCTGCATCGTTTCGGTTGAAAGTTGCGACGGCAATGAGGTGGTTCATCACGAGTCAGACCTGATTGTGCAACCTTTTTTGCAGTTGTTGTTAAGCAAATCCTCATGGTCGCTGAACGAATCTAGAGCCATCAAGCGAAAAAGTTGTTCACTACAACTTTTTTGTAGGTGTTTTTGCTGAAAACAACCTTGTACAAAGTTGTACAACTTTTTTGGGGCGTTTTTGCTGAAAACTGGAAACGAAAACACCAGGTTTTTTGGCAAAAACATGATAAATCAAACATGGGACTTGCTCAGCCATTTCAGAATTTATTTATTTATTTATTTATTTATTAGATTTTTATACCGAGTTATTTCGGAACCGAGTCACAAGTTCCTTTGGGGAGAGGGGTGTGTTCTGTTATAACCTTGGTTGTAAGTTGAGGACTACCTGCCAGTGAATTCAGGTCGTGCTAAACTCACAACGGTTGATTTAATGACCGTTCAGATTTACGACGGAACTGAAAACAGCAGCTGATTCTGTTGTTCGCACTTACGACTGTTGCAGCATCCCCCGTGGAAAAGTGAATAAAATTCGGACGCTTGGCAAGCAGCTCATATTTATTTTATTTATTTTTTTTGCAAAAAGTTTTTTATTTCTTTTAACCAAACATACCAATTACATCCTTTTGGAACAGAGCTTTGATCCGGTCATCAATTTATACAATTTTTGTCATCTTTAACAAAATTTTATATATTCTATTTTGCCATAACACTTATTTCTCAATCTTAAATCACTTATTCAACTAATACCATCTTAAAAAGAGTTTACTCTTATTTACTTAATCAAAACAATTACCCTTCTATTAACCCACCTAAAATCTTAAATCAGTTAATAACTCATAGTTCATTTATCAAATTTAAACCTTATCTCTAATCTTAAAAATATAGCAATTTAACATTTGACATTTAAACTTAGTTCTTAATTCAAAGAATGCTATTTCAATTTCCTTTTCTTTTTTGCTTAAATAAAAAAATGTTCAAATTATTACAATCGCTAGACATATTTAAACAATATCCCAATTATTATAGCTATCGATTTTCTCAAACAATACCTTCCAATATCTTATTTATTTATTTATTTATTTATTAGTCATATTTCTATGCCGACCACTCTCCGAGGACTCTGGGCGGCTTACACCAAAGACAGTATGCTAATCTTAATAAAAATAATCTTAACCTTAATAAAAATTAATTCATGATTTCCATTTATATATTTTCTTTTTACATAATCTAGCGGCTCATATTTTGGGCTCCATTGTGGCGAGGGCAACTTGTACAGGAATAACCCAGAGGCCCTGCAATATTTCCGACGACGTGTGTCAGCCTGCTAAACTCCCGTGCCTGAATACCTGAAAATGACATCCATTATTTGTTTTTAAAAATCAACCTTGATTTTTTTTTTAAATGTAAAAATGTCTCCGCAGATCTTCTCCATCGGAGCTCGGAAAAGTGAAAAAGCAGCCACACCGGAGGGATATTCCGTAAAAAGGAAGAAGGCCGCAATGTTATAAAATCCGGAGAAAAGGAAAGGCGAGGGAGAAGCATTAAACCGCTAGCAAGCAGCAGGGAAACGCTGCGGATGTTAATTAAAAGCTTAGGTGAATAAACGGGTGGCAGCACCAGGCGCTAATTGGCCACAATAAACTCAGGCGGAGTGGCATCCCAGGGAGACGGTGGATGGCAGGGAAACGGCTCACGGGGCTTCTTCAGAGGAGCTGAGCCAAATGCCCTCGGCCGGCTGGCTTCAGGGGAGGGGGATGGAGGAGGGCCCCCTCTATGGAGGGAAGGGAGGGAAGGAGGGAGGGAGGGAGGGAAGGAGGCCTGGAATTTAGGATGGATGGATGGATGGATGGACTGGAGGGAAGAGGGAGGAAGGAAGATGAAGAAAGGAAGAGAAGGAAGGAAGAAAGGAAGGAAGGAAGGAAGGAAGGAGAGGGAAGAGCGAGGGAAGGAGACCTGGAAGAAGGAGAAGGAGGGAGGGAGGGAGGGAGGGAGGGAGAGGAAGGAAAGGAGGGAGGGAGGAGCGAGGGAAGGAGGCCTGGAATTTCAGATGGATGAATGGATGGATGGATGGATGGATGGACTGGAGGGAAGAGGGAGGAAGAAAGGAAGAGAAGGAAGGAAGGAAGGAAGGAAGGAGAGGGAAGAGCGAGGGAAGGAGACCTGGAAGAAGGAGAGGGAGGGAGGGAGGGAGGGAAAGGAAGGAAAGGAGGGAGGGAGGAGCGAGGGAAAGAGGCCTGGAATTTAAGATGGATGGATGGATGGATGGATGGATGGATGGATGGACTGGAGGGAAGAGGGAGGAAGAAAGGAAGAGAAGGAAGGAAGGAAGGAAGGAAGGAAGGAAGGGGAGGGAAGAGCGAGGGAAGGAGACCTGGAAGAAGGAGAGGGAGGGAGGGAGGGAGAGAGAAAGAGGAAGGAAAGGAGGGAGGGAGAAGCGAGGGAAGGAGGCCTGGAATTTAGGATACTGTAGATGGATGGCCTGGAGGGAGGAGGGAGGAAGGAAGATGAAGAAATGGAGGGAGGGAGGGAGGGAGGAAGAGGATGGAAAGAAGGAAGAGGAAGGAAAGGAAGGAAGGAAGGGGTAGGAGGGAGGGAGGGAGGGAGGTGAGAGGGAGGATGGGAGGTGGGAGGGGGAGGGAGGGAATGCAGTGCAGTGTCCGGGGGGGGAGGGTTTGTCACGTGACCCCCTTTTGCGACCTTCTGACAAGCCAAGTCAATGAGAAAGGCAGGCTCACTTAACAACTGAGTTACTAACGTAACAACTGCAGCGATTTCTTGCAACGGTTTCAAGAAATGCCGTAAAAAGGAGGCGAAACTCACTGCAACAAACTTCTTACTTAGCCACCTAAACGTTGGGCTCAGTTGTGGTCGTAAATCGAGGACTACCGGTCATTGGAATCCTGCCCCATGCAAAACCAAAAAAACCCAAATGAGACCCATGATGTACGATATTCGGACTCAGTCTGCTCACAAACAACCCAGTTTGCAGATGGGAAAGAAATGCATTCTATACGGAATGGTCTTCCTGTGAGCCATGAAAGTTCTTCCTTGTTAAAATTCAATTCCGTTTAAAACGCGGGAGGTTCCCACACATCAACTGTTTATTCCTGCTTGGTCTGCACCTTCAAACTGAGGTTGACAGTTCGAGTCAGGGAGAGCAAGCCGAAATAAAAATAAAAATTGAATTATTTGCTGTACTTTCAGATATTGCATCAGTTTAATTGGCACCGAGCAGACAAGGAAATAGCAAAAAGTTGCTGATGGAAATTCCAGCAAACAGAATATTTAACGTGGTTGGAATTTATATAATCTCAGGGATGGATCTTCTTAAAGAGGTGAGGATATAGGTCACTCCTAGTCCTTCTTTTCCCTAGATTAGCCCTACCGCATTCCTGCAACTATTTTTGTTCATACAAGAACTAACATATTTGGGATATGTTCCATTCAGGCTTGTAACCCATAGATTATGGCTGAATGAGAAGTTAGAGCCTATTCAATAAATTGCAATTAAGCAATCAGTTTTCTGATCTCACTCAGAACTTAAGGTCCAATTCTTCGAGATTGTCTGGACAAGTCCCTGCAGTTTCTTGGCAAAGTTTTTTTCCTACCAAGATCAGCTGGCTTCGTGCTTAAGGTGGGACTAGAACTCACCGTCTCCTGGTGATTGGCCCAAGCTCACCCAGTCAGCTTTCATGACTAAGTGGGACTAGAACTCACAGTCTCCTGGCGATTGGCTCAAAGTCATCTAGTCAGCTTTAATAGCTAGAACTCACAGTCTCCTGGTAATTGGCTCAAAGTCACTCAACCTACTGATGTCTAAGGTGAGACTAGAACTCACAGTCTCCTGGTAATTGGCTCAAAGTCACTCAACCTACTGATGTCTAAGGTGAGACTAGAACTCACAACCTCCTAGTGATTGGCCCAAAGTCACCTAACTGGCTTTCATGCCTAAGGTGAGACTAGAACTCACTGTCTCCTGGTGATTGGCCCAAAGTCACTTAGTTAGCTTTAATGACTAAGACAGGACTAGAACTCACAATCTCCTGGTGATCGGCTCCAAGTCATTCAACCAACTTTCACGTCTGAGACTAGAACTCACAACTTCCTCATGATTGGACCAAAGTCACCCAGATGGCTTTCATACCTAAGGTGGAACTAGAACTCACAACCTCCTAGGGATTGGCCCAAAGTCACCTAGCCTGCTTTAATAGCTAAGGCAGGACTAGAACTCACAGCCCCCTGGCGATTGGCCCAAAGTCACCCAGCTGGATTTCCTGACCATTCCACTAGTAATACTGACTGGAAGTTGTTATGTGAACAGCCACCCTGAGTTGTGTTGGCTCCATCACTGGAGGTTTTCAAGGTCTCCTGCATTGGTAGCGGGCTGGACTAGATGACCTCCAAGGTCCCTCCCAGCCCTAGAATTCTACGATTTTCAAAGATGAAGACGGCACAACCTCACCGCCGTCTTCTCCTGCACTTAAAATAAAGCCGACTGATCTGCTGCAGGGACTTAATTGGAAACGAAGCGAAGATTCTCATCTCTATGCAAATGCCGGTGTTAAATAAAGATCAGGGAAGGGAGAGTTACTACAGGGAGCAGCTTCTGCTCTCAAGAATAGCTTTCCTCCTGAAGGCCTTGCTCCAACCGTTGAGCCGTCAAGGCAGCCACACGGCAAAAAGGAAAAGTCAGCCTTTGGAAGCAAGCAAAAATTCAACAGTTTCGCTTTGAAACACTCTGGTCAATTCCAAATTTAGGGCATTTCAAATTTTCTTCCGCTCCTCTGGAAAAGGGGCTCCAAACCCCCCCTGAAGCATTTTCCCCTCAGCAGCTTTCCTGTTCGAAACCTGACGTACAAGAGTTCATTTAGTGACCGTTGGACATTAGAAAGGCACTGAAAAAAAAAGTTTACTTAGGATCATTTTCCCGCTTGCAGATCAGAATTTGTAGGCCGAGTCTACCTTGAGCTGGTCAGGATCGAACTGCTGGCAGTGGCATGCAGAGTCAGCCTGCAATACTGCGTTCTAACCACTGCACCACCACGGCGCTGTAGAGCAGAGCTGCCACCTTCCAAGGACCCTTTGGTTGCCCTGACTAATGCCTCCTCCTCTGGAGGTGCTCTTTGGCATGGTCACTAACTGCGTTCTCAATTATAACACAATTTTTAACGGTTTTATTTAACTCAGATTTCTCCAACTTGTCGACCTTCCCAAGTATGTAGAATTTTGGGTGCTTTTTTCCACCCCCACAAATAGGCAATTGAATTTTCTTGGTTTTTTTCCTTTGAAAACATTTCGCTTCTCGTCCAAGAAGCTTCTTCAATTCTTCAGAATTGAAGAAGCTTCTTCAGTGAGAAGCGAAATATTTTCAAAGGAAAAAAGACGAAGAAACTCCAGGCGCCTTTTTGGGGGAAAAAAGGACCTTTGAGACAACCATGATTAGATGATTGAGAATCTCCATATTTTTTGTCGAGGAGTTGCACAGCAGGCGTCCAAATGAAGTCAGGGATGCTGACATGTAGTTTTATATAAATAAATATATTTAACGTCTATATTTATATCAGTTGATAGACAAACAGGAGCATCCTGAGGTAAAATCCACACAGGAACATTATCCATGAGGTAAATTACAGAGCACACAGAAGAAAAAGGCGGGAAACAAGGAAATGCCCCCTTTTACCCACAGCAACCAATCACAGAGCAGATTGCCTCACACAGGAGCCAGCTCTCTCCAGCCAATTAGCTATAACTATGTGTTCTGACTCATTGTGCGGCTAGTCCTCAATGTACGACCACAATTGAGCCCAACATTTCTGTAGTTAAGAGAGACATTTAAGTGAATTTTGCCCATTTTATGACCTTTCTTGCCTCAGTTGTTAAGTGAATCACTGCCGTTGTTAAGTTAATAACCCGTTTGTTAAGGGAATGTGGCTTCCCCATTGAGATTTTGCTTGTCAGAAGGTCACAAAAGGGGATCACTACAACCGTCATAAATATGAATCAGTTGCCAATTTGAATTTTGATCACATGACCATGGGGATGCTAGAAAGGTCGAAATTGTGAAAAACAGCCTCAGGTCACTTTTTTCAATGCCGTTATAACAATGGTCAGTAAATGAACCATTGTCATTGAGGACTTCCTGTACAACCTCACTGTTTCAGCTACTAAATTTAAATACCTTAACACTTTTTGATAGCTCTTACCTTAGAGGTTGAAACTTCTTGAACAACGCAACAGACGGTACAACCATCGGACACAATGGTTGCCAACACAGCCCCCCCATTTGGAGAATCAACCCAAGAACTCAAAAATGAGGACTTACTGTTGCTTGCGGGTCAATTCCTGCTCCTTCAGGACAAGGTCTTGCTTGAGGGATGCCAACATCTCCACGCTGACGTCCACCTGGCGGGACAGCTCTACCGCCCGGTCTTCCAGTTCTTGTTTCTCGCGGCTGAGTTTGAGGCTCTCTTGCTTGGCTTTCTCCAGTTCAGTGGTCTTGCGATCCAATTCCACCTGCAGACGCCCCACTTGGGAGGCGATCTTCTGCTCCACTTCTTCGGTGAACTTCTCCAAACGTTTGTCTACTTCCAGCTTCTCAAAAGCCCGGATCTTCAAACGGGTCAAACCTTCTTCATAAGCTGCGTCCACCGCCGCGACAGTCGCCGCGGCGGTGGCAGCAGCTGCCGGAGGCGTAGCGGAGGAAGTCATGGCTTTGCGGGTGAAGATCTCCGACAGCGGGATCTCGATCTCGTGGAAGTAGCGGGATGACGCAGTAGACGAGGACGACTCCAGCTCTTCGGCCGTTAGGAGGTCGCAAGTGAGGTGCTGCTCTTTACCCTGGAAGGAAGTGCTTTCAAAGATGTCCCGGCGGGTTGCTGGACTCAAGAGGCTGGCATCGGTCGGCAGGGGGAAGATGGTGGCATCGCAGATGCTGTTTGTCTTAGACAAGACGTAGAGAGTTTCATAGGTGTGATTGTACTCCAAGTGAGCCCTTAGAGAAGACAGGCTCCGGAAACGCTTGTGTTCCCCGCAGCGCGGACAGCGGTAAGGCAGGTCCAGAGAGGCCATCCTTCAACCCAAGCCACACAACCTCTCGTGCAGCCCTCCTCCGCCGGGAACCAGCTGCCGGGACCCTGTCATGGTGTAGATCGATTGGCCAACAGAGACGCGGGATTCGGGCAGCAGGAAAGTCGGAAGCGTGGTAGGACAGAAGGCCAGTTCCACAAAGTCATTGCTGGCTAAGGGAGAGGAGAGGAAGGCCTGGAGGTGGCACACCCTGGCAGCCAAGGCAGAGAGACAGCCGGAGGATGGGCTGGCATCAGGCACAGCTGGTAACCCTGCAAAGAAAGGAGATGGTCAGCATTTTCTCCTATGTCGTCTGAGGCACCCCTTCCCCATCAGTGATCTCCTGATTTAGGGAAGATGCTGAGAAGCAACCCCAAACAACTCAGTGTCAGGTTTCGATGCTATCTCAAAATGAATGAATTTCCAAACTGCCGATCTTTGAGGAAATTTTCTCTTTATTGAGCATAGTGATCTGTCCCTGGCTCTTTCGCGGTCAGCACTGACCTTTACCCCCCCAAGCCCTCCCTTTCCGATCCCCAATTCTCTGCGTCTCATTGGCTATCTTCCAAGCCACTCTCCTCATCCCATCTCCGTCAGATCACAGGAATGTCCCCTCCCTCCTCCCATCTCCGAGGAAACAGAATCTTCAAAGGAATTAAGTAGGCAAAAGTTCAAGCTTCTCCTCTCCTTTCATATGTCAGCGTTGGAACGCTGACATCCAGAACAACAGAATGACAGAGTTGGGAGGGACCTGGGAGGTCTTCTAGTCCAACCCCCTACTCCATCGGGAAACCCTATACCATTTCAGACAAATGGTTGTGCAGTGTCTTCTTAAAAACCTCCAGTGATGGTTGCTTCTCTCCTTGATTGGTTTCCATCCATTGCTTCTTGTCCTGCCTTCTGGTGCTTTGGAGAAGAGGTTGAGAATAGGTTCTTTGGGGGCAACCCCTCAAAATATTGGACGACTGCTACCTAGTCTATGGAGATTCTCAGTCCTCCAGGTCAAGGTTGTCCCAAAGAGGCAACTTTTTCAAGAGGCAACTGGTTTTTCTTTGAAGATGTTTCGCTTCTTCTCATCCAAGAAGCTTCATTAGCTCGTCTCATCAAGAAGAAGCTGAAGAAGCTTCTTGAATGAGAAGCAAAACTTCTTCAAAGAAAAACCAGAAAGTCCAGTTGCCTCTTGGAAAAGCATATTCGGGTGCTACCTAGTCTTTCTTTTCACTGGAGTAGACCTATCCAGTTCCTGCAACCGTTCTTCCTATGTTTTAGCCTCCAGTCCCCTAATCCTCTTGGTTGCTCTTCTCTAAACTCTTTCCAGAGTCTCCACATCTTTTTTACATCGTGGCGACCAAAACTGGATGCAGAATTCCAAGTGTGGCCTTACCAAGGCCTTGTAAAGTGGTATTAACCCTTCACATGATCTTGATTCTATCCCTCTGTTGATGCAGCCTAGAACTGTATTGGCTTTTTTGGCAGCTGCTGCACACGGCTGGCTCCTATTTAAAGGATTAATCACTAGGAACTCCAACATCCCTCTCATTCCAGCCGTCTTCAAACTTACCAACTTTAAGGTTTGTCCTCAAAACTTTGTTGTCAACTGAGGGCCCTTCAGGTAATCACTCACGGCTTGACTACTACAATGTGCTGCACATGGGACTGCCCTTGAAGATTATCCTGAAGCTTCAACTGATCCAGAATGCAGCAGAAGAAGCAATAATGGGGAATCCCTGGGTATGTCCCTCTTAACTCCTCTGTTTAGTGATTTTCTACTGGTTGAATTGCTTCTGGCTGCAATAGGAGGTTACTTACAAAGCCCTACATAGCATGAGGCCTGATTACAGGCAGTCCTCGTCTTACAACAGTTCATTTAATGACCGTCCAAAGTTACAATGGCATTGCAAAAAGCGACTTACGACCATTTTTCACACCTACGACCGTTGCAGCACCCCCATGATCAAAATTCAGACATTTGGTAACTGACTCATACTTATGACAGTCACAGTGTCCAGGGGTCATGGGATCCCCTTTTGAGACCTCCTGACAAGCAATGGAGAAACCAGATTCACTTAGCAACTGTGGCCAAAAAAAAAAAAGGTTGTAAAATGGGGCAAAACTCACTTAACAAATATTTCACTTAGCAACAGAAATTCTGGGCTCAAAATTGTGGTCGTAAATCGAGGACTACCTGCATTGGAGGGGCCACTTTCCTCCCGTAACATTTTCCCAGCTGATTTGATGCTGTAAACTTGTCACACTCCAAAATTCTTCAGCTAAGTTCTGACGTCTGTCAGTAACCTTCCCTCTTGCAATGACTGTCCTCTGGAAAGGGGCACCCCCTGTAATCCAAACAGCCCTCCCCCAGGTGGCTTTGAAGGCACCTGAAGAGCTGCTCCTCCCTTCTTTTAACTTTTCTTTTCTTCCTATCACCCAGTTTATTCCGTCCCCTCCTATCCATCCATTTCTTGGTTGCTTCTCTTCGTTTTTATTGTCATGCCTTTCATCTTTTAAACAGTTTGAAAATCATCCCGAGCTGCAGGCAGTCTGGCAGCCTATAAATTTAAATAAGAATAATTAATAATTGCTTGATCTATCCATGTTTGTTTACTTCGCTGTCTGGAGTTTAAAACTATATCTGTCCCATCTCATCTTTTTTTTTTTGTTCTTGTTGTTGCATAAAAGGGATGGGTGATTTGAATTTCCTGCATATCATTCAAGGCTTTTCAAAAACTTTGATCGTGAGAACAGAGAAGGGGGAGAAAAAACCCCAACAAAACACAGATTAACGGATTAAATAAGAGTTATTCAACGGTAGAATCAACCATCCGCTGAGATCCTGACCTCCACTTCAGTATTAAGTGTTCAGATGGAAGCTAAATCACTGTTTGCTGGGAATGTTTTGATCTGGAATTTCTGGCTGGCTGGCTGGGGAATTCTGGGAGTTGAAGTCCACATATATCTTAAAGCTGGGCAAGGTTGACAAATACCACTAGTATATTTTGTTTTCTTTCTTCCCTCGACTTACGATCACAATTGTGCCCTGAATTTCTGTTGCTAAGTAAGACAATTGGTGAATTTTGCCCCCTTTTATGACGTTAAAGTGAGTCACTTTATTTATTATTTAATTTATTTATTATTTATTTATTTCATCAAGCATGTATTAGATAACATATATAAGTATAGACTTATAGACTTATATACCTATATAGTTATATGCTTATATACCCATCTCCTCCCACTTATGACTGTATGACTGTAATTTTGTTACTTGTATCCTTACTATTTATATTGATATTGTTTCCTGATTGCTTATTTGTTCCCTATGACTATCATTAAGTGTTATACCTTATGATTCATATGCTCTCAGTGATTCACTGAGAGTGTATGCACCAAAGACAAATTCCTTGTGTGTCCAATCACACTTGGCCAATAAAGAATTCTATTCTATTCTATTCTATTCTATTCTATTCTATTCTATTCTATTCTATTCTATTCTATTCTATTCTATTCTATTCTATTCTATCCATTTTTAAGTCCATTTTTTTCAGCGCCATTGTAACATTGAACCGTTACTAAATGAACTATTGTACGTTGAGGACTACCTGAGCTTCAAAATTCTTCCCCCTTTGTTGACATTTGCAGGATGCTGGAGAAGATCCAAAGGGAAATACAGATAGTCCTTGACTTACAATCATTTGTTTAGTGACCACTCAAACTTACTGGAAAAAGTGACTTATGACCGTTTTTCACACTTCCGACCATTGCAGCATCCCCAGGGTCACGTGATCAAAATTCAGATCTTTGGCAACTGACTCATATTTATGACGGTCACAGTGTCCCGGGGTTACGTGATCCCCTTTTGCGACCTTCTGACAAGCAAAACCAGATTCACTTAACAACCGTGTCCCTAGCTTAACAACTGCAGAGACTCACTTAACAACTGCATCAAGAAAGGTTATAAAATGGGGCAAAACTAACAGTGACTGTCTCGTTTAGCAACAGCAATGTTGGGCTCAATTGTGATCGTAAGTCAAGGACTACCTTTAATAAAGACCAGAGACTGAGTGAAGTGGATTATGAGAACAAGTCAGGAAAATTTCAGGACCTTGGACAGCAGGCGAGAATGGCAGCTTCCCAACTAATCTATTAGCTTTCATACCTACATACCCATCATGCCCTTCCCATTTTGAGACCTGTAGTACCATGAAAAGCCCAGAAAAGGAGTAAGAAATAGTAAGAAAAAAAGAAAAGAAATACAAGCCAGGGACCCCATCAACTTTATCCAACAGTAGGTTGTTGTGTGTAATTCTACATACCACTCAAGGGAGACCATCAGAAAGACTCAAAAGGAATTAATTAATTAAGGGATTAATACTAGACCAACAATCAGGAAAGAAGGAAAGAAGGAAAGAAGGAAGGGCTGAATTTAAGGTGTGGGTGGGAGGAAGGAAGGAAGGAAGGAAGGAAGGAGGGAGGGAGGGAGGGAGGGAAGGAAGAGCTAGAATTTAGGATGGATGGATGGATGGTGAAAGGAAGGAAGGAAAGAAGGACTGAATTTAGGGTGGTGGGTGGGAGGAAGGAAGGAAGGAAGGAGGGAAGGAAGAGCTAGAATTTAGGATGGATGGATGGTGGAAGAAAGGAAGGAAGGAAGGACTTAATTTAGGGTGGTGGGTGGGAGGAAGGAAGGAAGGAGGGAAGGAGGGAGGAAGGAATGAATGAAGGAAAGAAGGAAGGAAGAAAAGAAGGAAGGACTGAATTTAAAGTGGTGGGTGGGAGGGAGGGAGGGAAGGCCTAGAATTTAGGATGGATGGATGGATGGTGAGAGGAAAGAAGGAAAGAAAGAAGGAAGGAAGGAAAGAAGGAAGGAAGGAAGGAAGGACTGAATTTAGGGTGGTGGGTGGGAGGGAAGAAGGAAGGAGGGAGGGAGGGAGGGAGGGAAGGCCTAGAATTTAGGATGGATGGATGGTGGAAGAAAGGAAGGAAGGAAGGAAGGACTTAATTTAGGGTGGTGGGTGGGAGGAAGGAAGGAAGGAGGGAAGGAGGGAGGAAGGAATGAATGAAGGAAAGAAGGAAGGAAGAAAAGAAGGAAGGACTGAATTTAAAGTGGTGGGTGGGAGGGAGGGAGGGAAGGCCTAGAATTTAGGATGGATGGATGGATGGTGGGAGGAAAGAAGGAAAGAAAGAAGGAAGGAAGGAAAGAAGGAAGGAAGGAAGGAAGGACTGAATTTAGGGTGGTGGGTGGGAGGGAAGAAGGAAGGAGGGAGGGAGGGAGGGA